TTTCCCGTGCTACACCACGAGCCAGCTGCCTTTAGCAAATCTAACGTGGCATTGCAGAGATGTGAGTCATCATCACCAGCCTTGTTTTCACAGATATTCTCAGCGCAGATCCGCACCACAGTATTTTTGTTTGCCCCTGACCGTCACAATATGACACATCCAGCTCACCCCATGATAACAAGACCTGGCTTATTAGGAACGGTAAACAAAATCACTCCTTGCAGCCTGACAGCCACAATTCCCACTGCCTCAGAAGGTGGTGTTGGGTTGACAGAAGCTCCACAGAGCCTCTTCTTCAGGATCATCACACTGCCTGGCCATCTTGGTGCTGCTGCTCCCGCAGGCCTGCATCCTTGCTTGGGATGTGGGGAGTGCAGGTGGTGGTGGGGGAGGATATTAAGGATGATGAGACTTCCTAAAGGGAGAGCTGACTGGGATGCTCTGGGCACTTTTTGCCTTGCCTTGCCTTGCCCTACCCTTAGACACCCTTCCTTGAAGGCAAAGTGAGATGTATGGGGAGAGAAGGTCCTAAGGCCACTCCACCACTGGCTGCACTCAGAGCAGGCATAGAGGATGGCACATGGATAACTTTCCAATGCGTGGCCCAGGGGCTGCTGCCTGAGTTCTGGCTCTCTGGCCTTGGCCAGGAGCATGGCACTTGCAGCACAAGCCTTGCCCTTCAGAGGAGCTGCTTTGCCAAGACCGGATTTGGGCCAGACACCTTATTGGCACACAGCTAGGCAAGACAACACACCACCTCCACACAAGCCCTTGTGCCCAGTTTTTCTTGGTCCATGAGGCTGTGGGGACAGTGCTGTTCCTTCTGAGCTGAGTGATAAAGGACACAGAGACCACAGGGAAGGAAGAATGTCTGGGAGGTGTTAGTGGGCAGCCTGAAAGACAGGCCTGCATTCACTTGCCCTGCTTTCTGAGCTAGGGGTTGAGTCAATGTCCCACAACTCCATATCCTGAGGAACAGAAATAGGTGCTTTAAAAGTATTTATTATTCAGGAATGGCTTCTTTGTACTCTGCCCAGTTTGACACTTGGGTACAAGACACAAGACTGTTCCTGCCTGCCAAACTGTCTCTTTCAGGGGCGGACACAGGGCCAAACTATGAATGAGGTCCTCAAAGGAAAACCACCTCTGTCCCAACAACATGCTGCCACACATGGTGTTCACACACATATGAGACTGATTACTCAGCCAGACATGCTGGAGATGGGGACACTTGGTGAAATATACCCAGCTTGCTACAATGAACTATAAACACACTCTGCTAAACAGAAATGGGCTTAGATTTATTCCTGTTCCAAGCAGGAAACTAGAAGGGATAATACAGAATTAAGCTGTGAAGTTAACCTTCAGCTATGTAAATTATAGGGAATGAAAAATGCAGTCAATGTGAAACAGTATTATAAATGCACCTTAACTACAGGCACTATATCGTACAGTGTAATCTTGCAAGCTGGGGCAGTGGAAAACAGCAAGTAAGTTTCAGCCTCTGAGCTATCTGGGGTGAAAAACATTTTTCCAACCGCTTCTGCTGTCGCACACTATTCCACTTGATAGGGAATGTACAAAATGGGCTGACCAGCTAAACGCACACTAGTCATAAGGTAGCTATGTTGACAAATTGAATCATATTTTGTGGGATTATACCCAAGGCAAAGAATTTGGAAGATTAGCAACTGAGCAATGTGAAAGCGCTGCCAAGCTCATGTTGCTGAGACTCGTACTGCTGGTTTGGGAGCGCTGTGCTCCGAGCCCACGTGCCAAGCCCCTCCTCTTTGTGATTTGGAACCAATATTTGCACAAAGTGAAGTGAAAGCACGGGCACTGACGGCTAGATAGCTGGGGTTTTATCGAGGTTGTTTTTGTAGGGCACAAGGTCCACAGCCAAAGGACAGCGACGACGTAGATTGTGGCTGTTGAGTTCAGTGGAACCCTGTTGGCTTTAGACCAGGGGTGTGGTAGGGGGTATGAGGTGCTATGCCACCTTGACATCCGCAACACATGTGAAATAAAGAGATTTTAATGACAGATTACATGTATTATTCTTTATATACCTAAAATTACTCACCATTCTTTAGCATCCAGATCAGTGAATGACATTGTTTCCACACTGACACACATACAAAGGCAGGGACTTTGGGTAACCCACTATCAGTGACCCCAGATTCTGGAATCACTGCATTCACTACCAGTATCAGAGATGGGACACGAGTAACCCCTGTCTATTTAAATGCCCACTAACAGGATTCTGGATGTACGTGCACCAAATGCCGTCATTTTGAGTCACTACACATCAGTGTACTTAGGAAGAAGCTCAGAGACATAGTAAAGAACTAAGTCATGAAGTTAACCATCAGATTAAATTACAGGGATTGAGAAATGCAACTGTTGTAAAACTGACCTGTAAAGACACTGGATGCGTTACAATATATAACCTCCTGCAGGTATGACTATTATTATATTTTCCTTGTATTAAACTTTGCAAGAGGGCACCTGCTTCTATCAAACACACAGAATAACAGCCTGCCTGGTGCTGGTGAGGGCAGGGACTGCACTCTGTGGCTCAGGACAGTCTCAGCTATACATGGCACAAATCTATGCAGGTTTATTTGGAGGCTGGATGAGCCACACAGTCACACTAACCCCATTGTTAAGGACAGCACTTTTCCAGCAGCTCAAAGCCTTTAATACCAACATTTCATGAAGGATTAAAATTATTATCCTTGTACTATTCTGGTGAGAATAAGGAAGTTGTGATATCAGGAGGGACAGAGAAACTTGCTTAAAATAGCAAACAATTCCTGAGATTTCCCATGTTTTTCTGCAATGGGAGGAGGAAATGGCAGCAGGGATAACCATGCCTGCTGGAGGAATCTTGCAGCCCTAAGGTGGACCCAGCTCCCTGCTGACATTCCCCCATGACAGGACCTCACACCTACATGGTGGGGTCCCAAAGCAGGAGAGAAACCTTGGTGCCATCTTTGCTCCCCATCCAGTACCTGCAAGGAGTGCAGGACAGCTGTGTGAGCCTTACATCTGCTGGGGGAAGGGAAGGACCCACTCCATCTTCCCTCCTTCCCTCAATTCCTAGTTCACAGTACATTGTCTCATGGCCTCTGAGCCCTTGCTTTCTACCTGCAAATCTGACAGCACACAGAAGCAGCAGGAGTATTACAGATGAGCCCTGGCTCTGCAGGACTAAGCTGACAAAAACCTCGAGGAATGCAAACAAACTCCCTGCGCCCCCTCCAGCTCTCTACTGCAGAATTTGGCTAAACTGTGAGCACCGGGAGGAAGGGAAAGTAATCACAGCAGAATTTCTCAGCTGCAGGCTCTGTGCAGTGCTGCCATGCCCTCTGCCGGGCCAGTCTGCCTGTCAGATCACCCTTCCCATGCATGCCTGCACACTGCCTGTGCCCTCACCGCCCTGCTCGCACACCTGCCTGCATCCTCACAGCTTGGCTGCCGCATCCAGCTTGGTCTGAGGTCCCTGCCATCTCCACTGGCCAAAGCTCTGAAACAGAAAAGGAGCAGCAATTAAGAAATGAGGAAGGTCGCTTAATTAAATCACGACACCCTGAAGGCACAGAAAGTCAGCAGGACCTCCTGTGACAAATGCATCCCGTGAAAATGCCAGCTCTGCTCTGGGCTCTTGAATTGAGACAGTTTGCTCTGCAGCTTCCTTGCTCACCTTACAGAAATACTGACCCCCGAACAACCATTGAGTGTTTTGGGAAAAGATGTTTGATAATAAACAGGCAGCAGTGCACCAGCCCTTGGGGTGAAACTCTCTGTAACTAGCTGATGTTTGCAAAGACTGAGCGCAGCCTCCCTGAACTAGAGGGGCAAGGGAGCTGTTTCTGCACATATCATCTGGCACAGAACTGGAAATAAACCCAACGGCCCCGTGAGTAGGCTGAGTATTAGGTAAGACTTGCATTAACCTGAAACTGGGTTGCTGAGGCACTGAGCAATGTTCCAACGACCCGAAGCCCTGCCCCACTCCCACCACAGGCTGAGCATACAAGGAACAGCCCCCAGAGCAGCCACTGCCTCCACACAGGTAACAGCCACTGTGCTGCGTGTGGGACTCGGGTTGGATCTAACAGCAAAAACCCACGTCAGGAGCTCTTTGGCCAGCTCCAGAGCTAGCCACAAAGCACCAATGTGAGATGGGTTTCCTGGCACACAGATAACCCAGCAGGACAGGCTGCCTGCACACAGCCCAATGCACCCACACGGAGCAGCACCGGCCCCGAGGTGCCTCAGCAGGGCAGGACTCAGTGAGCTGAGGGCTCGCTTGTCCCAAACACAGCTCTGGGATGGTGTGAGGGTCCCGGCGGGCCCAGCACCACCCCCAGACCGCTGCTTCCCGCCCACAGCGCTCTGAGGCGCTCCAGAGGCCGCGCTTCCCGCCCAAACTGAGGTAACCCCGCGGGGCGACGCCCCGTCCGGACAACCCAGCGACGAGAAGACGTAAAGAGCAGCTCTAGGAGAAGCAGATAGGCGCTAACCGGGCGGGAGGCACGCCAGAAGGAAGAAAGGCGCTGAGCCACGCACGAAGTAGCACTTCGCCCGGCTCCCCCCCTCCCGACGCCCAAAAGCAGCACCACGCATGCGCACCCCTAATGGCGGCCTGTCCACCCTGCGCATGCGCGGCCCCGATGGCAGCCTGTTCGCTCTGCGCATGCGCGCCCCCATTGGCCGACCGTCCGCTTTGCGCACGCGTACCGCTCCTCCCAGCCAGGAGCGCTCACGGAGGCACCTCCTCCCGCGTTTCTGCGCCTGCGCGCCGGCGGCTCTTCGTCGCGGTAGTCTCGCGAGATGTACGCACTTCCGCCGGCGGCGGCCGGGGCCTATGTACCAATGGCTGCTGGCGGCCGTCGGCAGCCTCTTCGCCGCCGCGCGCCGCTCCGCGCCACTCCCGGCCCCGCGCAAGCGGCCCTTCCGCAGGTCAGCGCTCCGCCGCGTGTCCCTCCGCGCTGCGTCCGGCCCTCGGGCGTGACGGGGTGCCGGTCTGCCCGAGGGTTCCGCTCCTCGGCCCCGAGATAACCTCGCTCGGCCCGCTGGGCACGCTCTGCGCTGCGCAGCCCGGCGTCCCGTAGCCTTTCTTGGCCACCGGGACACGCACGGGTCCTTCTCCAAAGAGCTCCTTTCCAGCACGTCTGCACTGATGTGTGCAGCCGGTCCTTCCCCGGGCGCGGGGCTGTGTGTGTGACAGAGCGAGACGTGAACTGGGACGTGGGGAGTTTCGTACAAAAATGAGGAATAAAAGCTCCTGTGAGGGTGTAGAGCCGTGGAGTGGGCTGCGCACGGAGGCGGTGCGGTTTCCTCCGCAGATACTCGAACCCTGGGCACGTTTCTACCATAGGGAACTTGCTTTACAGGGGGTTGGACTGGATGATCTCCAGAAAGGCCTCCCAGCCTCTACGACTCCGTGATTCTGTGTGCAAAGTGAAAGGCAGGGCAGTGCTTTTGCAGGCAGGAGCTGATGGCGTGCAGCAGAGCCATCCCTGCCACATCCCTCTTCCCAAAGGCAGAGCAACACGGGCTGCTTGCCACACTGTGGGCGCTCAGCTTTGCTAGGAGATCACTGCAAATGAGGGAAGCAAGTAGGGTGGAAATGCTGTGTACCAATGGCGGAGGTGTTTTCAGCAGCAGTGCTGTTGGAAATTAGGTCTGAAATGCTGCTTGTCTCTAAAACATCTCCCTGTGTGAGACTGCAAGAAAACCATAGGATGGCCCTGGTTGCAAAGGCCCACAATGCTCATCCAGTTCCAACCCCCTGCTATGTGCAGGTCACCAACCAGCAGCCCAGGCTGCCCAGAGCCACATCCAGCCTGGCCTTGAATGCCTCCAGGGATGGGGCATCCACAACCTCAGTTCTCCACAAGTGCTGTTTCTCAAAATGTACACGAATGCGACAGGCAGGTGAATGGTTTGGCTGAAATTTTGGATGCAGAGATGTCCTGAGCAAGCACCATTCCCAATCAAAGTGGTGGAGCACGCGGTGAAGTTTTACAGAAGTTGCCTTTTTTGTTATGGCTGCCACTTGGGGTTTTCCCACAGCAAAGAAAGATGAAAAATTATGGATATCGGTAGTGAAAGTAACGGGGAAAGTGGGTAAAAATGAACTGCTCTTAAATGCTGCATTGCAGCACCATGTGAATTCCAGAGGAAAAGTCAAACTTTTTACAGCTTTACATGGTAAAACTATCACAGGGTGCTCACAGCAGTGATGCAGGAGGAGATTTGGAAGAAGAGAGAGGCCCACACGTGGATGTGTGCATGCAGAAATAAGGGGGTTTTGTGACACCTTGCTTTCGCCCCTCCCTCACTGGTGGGGGGGAATAGAATGTTATGCTGTTGCCACGGTGTCGCAGGGGGAGTTGAGCCCATCTTGGTGCGGAGGGCAGGTGCACATCTGCCTCCTGCAGCGCTTTTTCCACCTTTTTTGCGACCACTGCTCAACACCCTCTGCTTTTACTTCACCGAGAGCCTTAGAGGAGCCTCTGCTCCACGGGCACAGCTTGAACTCCTCGCCAGTTGTGCGTTCTGCTATAGACGCATAGCTGAGCTTTTTTACCACTTGCTTTTACCTGGAGTGAGAAAACTCAGAGACATCAGAGCTTTTTTAGTCTTTTTCTGCGTTGTCGAGACCAAACTAATCCTGCCATGTCCTCAAAACAACCTAAACAGCCCAAGCGTCCGACTAAGTGTAAACGGAAAAAACGACATTGTAACAGGTACTGGGTGCAGTGCTGAAGCTGGGGGAGGAAGCACTTCTCTTTAAAAACTGCTGGTGGTAACGTAGCTGGGTGTTAAACCTGTGTTTATCTCTAAGTGCAGCCTTGGGGAGGGCTTGTGGTGCTGTGTCTCTGCAGAAGGTTTGAGCTGGGAGCCGTATGCTGTAGGCCTGGGAGTGAAAGTTAGCTGTTACTAAAAGATGGATGGAAAGACACACGTGGTGGTGTTTTCTTCTTAATTTAGCCTGCTGAAATATTAAATACATTAATAGAAATGTGGTTTTTTAGGAATAATTCGTGTTTATCACCTATTCCTTGGTATTTTCTGCCTGAAGTTAGTAGCATCGTAATGACAAATATCCTCTGTTTTATATGAAATGTGGAGCTATTTTTTGTGCTTCTGATGCCAAAGGGTGACAGTCCAGAAGGGGTGAGATGAGCAGGGCTTGGATGTGTAACAGTTGGAATTGTTTTGATCAAAGAAGGACCAAAGAGTCCTCGCCATGTGGGGTGGGGAGAAGGACAGAAACACCACTTTGTGTTGTTGGAAGTAAATAGGAAGAAAAAATAATATATATATATATATAAATGAGCTGTGTATTCCCAATATTAATAAATAGATTCCTAGACTTTATCTTTGTGACAACCTGACGCAGTGCTTCAGCTGCTGCTTAGTAAGGAGGGGTGCAGCTGAGAGTGATTGCAATGAATGGTTTGTAAGCACTGATTTAGCAGTGAGTTATTTCTGTGGGTGTACATGCATTGCTTTCCCATCTTATATTTCCTGTCCTACTTAGGCTTTTTTTTTTCCTCTGCAACTCATTGTAGTGAACTCAGATGGCTTAGTAATCACTGGCGTATTTCTTTCCTTGAGGAAAGAGGCAAACCTGTATATTAATTAAGAATTTTTGGTTGCTTGTAACAGATAGAAAGTATATATTGAATGCTGGAGAAAGGGGCCTAATGTGTTTTTAGTGGGTGAATTAATTTTGTGTGTGTGCTCTGCTGGGTGGGAGACATCAATGGCAGACGCTGCCATGTATTTCTGTCTGGACTGATCTTAGAGGTGCTTGGAGGGGAGACCTCTGGGATAGAAGGATTAATTTGGGAAGTTTGGGTCCTGTGAAGGGAAATGAGTCTCTTAGAAGCTCATCTGCAGTTCCCAAATGCTGATCTGCACGTATTTTCTGCAGTGTTCAGCCGCCTCTGGAAGAAGATCCTGACCAGGCTCAACCAAAAAGGAAAAGATCAGGTATTACACATTACAGAAATAATTAATACGTCTGATTTTTTTTTAATTTTTTTTTTAGGCTTTATGTACTTTGGTAAACTGGCTTCTGTTCTTCAGCATAAAGACTGAAGTTTTGAACCATTCTTTTCATTGTGATCATCTGTGTAGCCAATGGCCTGAGGCAGAATTGTGTCATGTGTACTGGCCGTGGCAGGAAGGTGTACTTTTACTGCCAGCAGGTGATGTCCCACATCTCTCTGGCCATGAGCCCATCCACATCAGCAGAGGGAGCACTGTACATCAAAGCTGTGTGTTCCCTCCTGTATTCATGATCTGTATTCGTAGTGTTTCACATCCACCAGCAGAAAATAGCTGTGTTTCTTCTGAAAAACCACCTAGAGTCTGGGGTACAAAGGGAAGCACCTTTAAAGTGATAGCAGGCAGAGAAAAAAATGGGATTTAGGAGTGATGCAGCTATGCTGCTACCTCGGTATTCACTGCATGGATCATGGTTTGAGATCAAAGTTCCCCTTTTTCAGTCAGATGAAGAGGGAGAAGTTGATGCTCTTTATGCTGCAGGATATTTCCTAGCACAAATTTTATGGGGAAACATGGAGCTTTGTAGTTATTGCTTGGCCACCTGTGCTTCCCCTAATTTAACCTGAACTGTTATAGTGTGCTGTTCTGGTATCACTTAATCCCTGTTTCCCTTTTCAGTCATGTTCTTATTTGACCTGTCTTTTTTTTTTTTTTTTTTTTAAAGGCTCTGAGCCTCCAGGGGAAGCAAGCACTTCTGCTGAGGTGAACTTGCCACCCAGGGCAGCAGATGAATACTGGACAATTTCAGATGACAATATAACTTCAACCACAACCTTGGGAGAAGAGGTTAGCACAGATTTTGAAAGTAGACAATTGTAACTGGTAAATTTGTGAGAGACAAAAGGAAGGAGCTTGTCTGCGTAATGAAGCCCATACAGCAGTAGGTTCTTCTTTGCTATACATAGCAGGCAGCTCCTGTTGGCTGGGTTTGCCTTATTCAAGTTTGCACACTGTGCTCTAGCTCTTGTATCTAAGGAGCTCAATGTTTGCAGTCTTCCAGATACTTAATAGTCGTCATATCTGTAGTCTTACCATGTTTACAAGTTGTTTCTAAAGCTACTAGTTAAGAGATCAATATGCATCACCTTACAAGTAAAACTGCATAATTGCTGTGGATAAAGGTCTCTTTGCTACGTTATCCACCAGACCATGAGAGGATGGGTCTAAAAGCCTATAGGACTTTGATTCTGTGAAAATAACCAGTGAACTGTTGCTCATCTCTGTAGTTTGGTTCAAAGCTGCAGTGTTTTCTTGTTGTCCCACTGGTATAAGAGAAGAATAAGAAGCTGCAATGATCTATTTGTTCTTGAGAGAGCTACTCTCTCTCACAAGAGTTATTTTTCAGGGGCCAAACTCACATTTCAGTGTGATTAGGAGCTGAATGAAGAGAACTCAGGGTTATACTCATGTAGTTTTAATCACTGCATATATGAGCTCCTGTATTAAAGAAAAAAATTTAAGTGTACTTGTCAGAGATTCTGCAAATATTTGCATTCTGCTGCAATCTGAACCAGCATATCATGATCCCTGAGTCATAATAGAGCTGCCTACATTTCAGGAACATTATGTTTGCTTGTATTTGCATTCAAGTTGTACTCACAGTGATACCTTTGTTTTTATTCAAGCCTCCACCTGCTCCATATGACCCTTCATCTGAAATACCATCAAGCCCTGTGCTGGAAAAGCTGCAGATTGGTAAGGCTGACACCAGGTCACCAACTCATTTCTTTTTCCCCCATCCTTGTGTACCACATGACCCAACTTCAGATTTACATACAGATTATTGCAGGCACAATATGTAACATCTAGGAATATTGCATATGAGCTCTGTTTCTTTTTGACTGGTGAAGCTCTTTACTGTAAACTGAAAACTTTGGTTTCCTTTTGTGGTTACTGATGTAACTTCTGTTCTTGTTACAGATAATATGCCTTTTGAAAGTGATGCTTACTTCGATAGGGTTACACTTGCCCTTTCTCCTGTGACAGTTCCACAGCTGAGGTAAAAATCCTTTAATTTCTTTCTGTAAAGACTTACCATCTTTCACTTTTATTCTTGAACTTCTTGAGTATTATCAAACAGCTGGATCATTGTCCACATAGTAATAGTTATCCAAATTATTCTGGGACTTGATCCAGTTGCTGTGCTGCAGTGAGATATCTAGCTGCCTTTTTTTCCCCTCCAAGCAATCTTTTTTTTTTTTTCCCCCCCTTTGAATCCAGATACTTCATAGACATGGGAGATTTGTTAGAAGAAGGGGCTTTGTTAGGTAGAAGCTTCTGTATTGACTCAGGGCTTGGGCTGCCTTGGAAAGGGCCCTAAGACTACCTGCATCACTTGTGCAGATCAAACAGCAGTGTTTATTCAAGGCAGTTGTTCTGCTTTTAGTTTCACCTGTGCATACTTTCTCATTAATGGGTTGAAGACAGCAGGTCTTCATCTGAAAGTAATCAACATCTCATGTAAAAACAGTTGTCAGTGCAGGCTGAATTGTAGATGCTTATTTGAATGTTTTCTTGATGGTATTTCTTTTGCCTTTGTTATTTTTAGCAACTACTACACTGAACCTACTGCAGATGACACTTTAACACCAAGGCCACCCGTAGAGGATGAAGAGCCAAAACCTTCTACTTCAGGAATAGGCAAAACAGGGAAGCCTTGGCGCACCGTTGAGGAGGTATGTGGCTGAGAAAGGCTTTTTGAAGTTAAACCATTCAATAATTACAGCTACAAAAACACTGGGTTCCTTCCCTGTCTTTCCAATGTCTGAAGCAGCTATACGTAATAAACCTAGATTTCTTGGGAAGAAGTCTCAGACTGAAGTAGTGGAGAAGCAGGCTGTGGCAAGCAGTGGAGTATGATTAAGATATCCTGGGGACTCATAGCAAAGAGTCATTATGTGTACTGACAGGAATGCATATTAGCCTGAATTATTATGCAAGAGGTGCAGACCGCAGCTGCAGATAAGAGGCCCACATTTGAAAAAAAAGAAAATGGTTGTAAAAGAAGTTTTGAGAATTACAGTGGGCACAAATCCTTCCCACAGGGCTAACACAAAACAAACATGTGGGAATTGCTGGTAAAATGAGCTGCAGTATTTAGAGAGCAACCTGTGCAGGCACTAAATCCAGATGACAAGTATTTGCTTCATATGCAGTGATTCTAATCTGGTTTTTTGTTTGTCCCTCCATTCTGCTAGGATGTTCAGAGAGAAGAAAAAGAGAAATACAAGCAACTCTTGAAACTACTGAAGGACAAATATGCTAAATACTGCCATACTCCAAAGCCGACAAGCTGCAAGTAATTCATTATAGGAAGAAATTAACATAAGCTTTGTTGTACATGGGGAAGTGGAGGGAAAAATGCAGCTTTTGCATTCTCAAGGCTCCTGATAGCATCCCAGGGCAGGTCTTAGCATAAACTAAATTTTGAAAGCTCAAGAGATGCTCCCCCTCCTCACATTCATTTCTTCCAGGTGTAGCATGAATGTTTTGTGAAGGTATGTTCTGCAGATAAAAGTTTGTTTGTAGGGATGTTTCTCTCCCAGTAGATTAAAAGGAAGAAATCTCAGTCTTGTGCACAGAACTCCTGTGCTGTAAGCAACCTACAAGAGGGAACTTGTGTGTAAATCTGATTCATGAGTAGCAGTGATGTGGGTTTGATATCTCTGTTGCTGTGTAAGAGATTGCATAAAGTTAACCACACCAGGAAAAACACAAAAATAATAGAAGCTGTTATCTCAGTGGGATAGCTACACCTCAAAGCTTTATACAAAGGGCCTAATTAGAAAATACTGATGCCAAAATGGTGAGATAGCAGCATGCCTTTCTGCACAGTAAGACAGTAGGAAATGCCATGTGAATGCTGTGAAACATGGATTTCTTGGAAGCTAAAATCCCAGTCTCTGCTTTGTCTCACAGCTAGAAGACATGGAAACACAGGGCTTCAGATCAGAATAGCACATCACATTTTAAACATTCTGGTGTGTGAAAATGATACAGAAAATGACATTTTGTGTAGCTTTAGTTGCACCAACATTAGCATTTTAGGTTGGATCAGTATGCTGCTTTTGGCATCTGATCTTCCAATTGTTGGTTATTGTGGTTTGGCTCATATCTCAGAGCAGTCCAGAAGGATGAACTAAAATATCCCAGAAATGTGTATTGTGTGGACAGTGTATTCACAGTGACAGCATTATCTTCAATAAATAAGCTGAAGAGGGTTAGTCAGGGATTGTGACAAAGAATGCTGCCCTGTCCTATCCTATAAAACACAGATTGCATACAGATAACAAGTACTGTATGTATTGAAATTCTGATTTTTATTTTTTTTTCCCTGTTGCACTAAAGTGTTGAGATTTACCACAAAGAATCACTGTCTGCTGTAACTTTCCTGGAAGAACAAAAATGCGGAGGGGATGCCTCCAAGCTTTTGACACCAAAAACTGGTGAGTGACCCATGCTTCATAGTTGCTCTATTTTATAAGCCTAGCTTTAAAACAGAACATTTATTTGAGGTATATTTTGTGCTGTGTTAGATCTGGTATAGCTTACATTGGCTCTTAGAACAAAATGAGCTGTCTCTGGAAAGAAAAAGGAGAGCAGGAGCAAAACCAGAGATAGTTGTTAGCTGAAATGGCTTTGTAAGTGAAAAGATTTGTTTAAAGTTGTCCCTCCACACTAGCACTGTACCAGAGGTGTTCTTAGCTGCAGAAGTAACTGCACACTGTGCAGGTGAAGTCTGTAACATCCAGCCCTTTGAGTTGGTGGAGGAGGCACACTGATGTGTGTGTGCGTGTACCCTTTAAGTTGTCACTCAGTTGTGAGAATGCATTACTGTTTAATCCTTTTTTACATGACTCTATCCATGATATCAGAGCTTCAACACTAAGCCAGCTGTTACAATCTGAAAAATTAACCCAGTGGAAAGGCAGTAAGGAGTGAAACAGCAAAAGGAACTAGCATGAAACGGGATGGCGTTATAAAAGAAAAAGTGCTTACCTGTCTCTGCAGATCTAGGCTCACAAGGGAGTGATCTCCAACCACAGCTTCTTCCCTACTCCAGTCAGCCCTTAAATGGGGTCTAAGAGAGGTGCAGCCAGGCTCCACCCCAATTGCCTTCACCTGTGCTCCCAGGGCTGACCAGGTCCTTTCCCCAGGTGCTCAATCAGTGGTTCAGGCTGGGACTCAACAGTTTTCATACGCCAGCAAATTACTTCTTTCCTGGATTAGCACAGCACCTCTCTTTATAACAAGTTAGCTTGTTTGGTAGATTGTCTTGTCTGTTAAGCTGAAGAATGTAACTACTGAAAGTGACTTTAGATTCTGGGCTTCAGAGCTCATATGCTTTCACATAATATCCAGGAGGCCTGTTTGCCAGAGTTAAAACTTCATAACCTTGTAGTCATTATTAGCAAGGGTTTTTTTTGTCCTTTCCTTCATAATCTGAAAGTCATTTTTGCCTGATCCTCATTAAATGCTGGCTTCTTGTATGCTTTTTTGTGCAGGTGACAGCAGCCCACGCCACTCTCCAGAACGCGAGGAGCCCAGGTAGAATCTTAGTTCCTCTTTGGTTTTGATAATCATACTCATCTCAGTGTTCTGGCACGAGAGTAGCTTGTGGCTCTGGAATTGCTTGCAGTCCAGTTGTGTCTCTCATTTCTTCTTTGTGAACCACCTGAGCAGTAACAGTATGAGTGCAGATGGCTGTGTGTTTTTGAAGGAAGCTTGGATTTGCAGTAAGCAAAGCCAATGTGAGAGACTTTTGTATGGCAGTCTGATCTGTGATAGTGCATTCCTCAACCAGAAGATGGATGTGTAAGAGTTACATGGGATAATATTGCTACAGCCTGCTTCTCTTTCTTTCAAATTGCAGTTACTGTACACCAGCAGAAAAGGAAGGCAAGGGAAGAGAAGAGAGACAACCCAGTGCAGGGGTAAGCTTATTCAGATGTATGTGGATATATGGGTATATGGATGCATATTCAAAATACACTTCCAATTTTATACATGAGCAAGACTTTGTGTTATCCCTTAGCAAATTTGCTTGCTAGTTTGACTTCTTTTTGTCTAACAGAGACAGCAGGGAGATGAAGTCCCAGAGGATGCCTCCTCTGAATTGCGTCCGGCACCCGTTCTGCCCAGACCATCTGTCCATGATGAGGAAGAAAAGAAATTCCCAAAATCCCGAGAACGCTTTCCTCCACTCACAGAGGTACCATAGTTGTCAGTCTCTTGTTCAAATTAGGAAGCTGTAAAACATCCACATAACTCCATTTTTTTTGCAGATGATTCTTGAGCCTATTTTGCAGTGTTAGGAGCTTGCATTCACTACTCATCGAATGTCTGCAGAGCAAGGGTCAGCAGTAAAGCTGATATTAAAGGGTTTAGTACAATCCACAAAGTCCTTTGGTTGTGTTCATGTAAGGGTTTGTGGGAGTTATGTGAGTAGGACCAAAACTGGTCCACATTTAACAGCTGCTTTTCCAGAGCAATATTTGGCTGCTCTGATTCCTTGGATTTGAAGTCCTGCTGATGTAACTGAGCACCTTCTTTTTGGCCTGGTGACAATTGATTTGGGAAAGGCAAGCAAATTGAGGGTTTACAAACTCTGGACAGTGATGCTCCATACAAGACAAAAAAGTTGTTGTTTTCACTTCACTGGCCCAGATTTAACCAAAAAGAAAGTGTGCTTTGCATCCCTTAAGCAGGCTTAGATGGAAATATCCATACAAGAACAGTTACACACACAACTGAGACTCCTGAATGCATGACTCTAGTGTAGATACCTCAGTTCCCTTTGGAGCTCCCCACTTGTAAGTTCTTTTAGGTGCCCGACTTACATGCCTTGGTGGTGCTAGTCTTATCACTGGAGCCTTCATTTAGCAGACCTTGTTACAGCTGAAAGCTGCCTGCAGGTTGGTGTGCTCACAGGTCCTTTCCCATTCAATTGCTTGCTTCAGGCCATGGAGAGAGAGATCAAGGCTGCGTTGGGCGAGGGCAAACCGGACGAGATCCTGAGCAGTGCCTTCAAACTCAGACTCACCCGTGAGGACATCCAGACACTGAACAATCATCAGTGGCTAAATGATGAGGTAAAACTTGCTGCAGCACAGCAATGTTTCTGTTCTGTATGTCTTTTAAAATGTCCTCAGATGTCTGATTTCAGTTATTTGAGGACCCTCACTGCAGAACTTATAAACACCTGTCGAGTCTTACTTTAGGTATATAAAGGTCTGGAGTTTCTAGAAACGCTTGTATTTCTTGGATCAGACAGTTTCTAGAAGTTAGTCTTCTGGAAATGTTGCTTCTCTGTTTTTTTACTTTTTTAATTTGGTGAGCAGTGTCTTATTTTACATCCTATGTTTGCTTTTTATCATACAGGTCATTAATTTCTACATGAATCTTCTGATGGAAAGAGGCAAAAAAGAAAACTATCCATCAGTCTATGCTTTTAGTACTTTCTTCTATACCAGACTTCTTTCCGAAGGCTACAGAGCAGTAAAAAGATGGACTAGAAATGTAAATCTGTTCAAACAGCACATCATTTTAGTTCCTATTCACTTGACATCACACTGGACATTGGTGGTGAGTCATGATGGATTTTTTTTTTTTTAATTGAAGAATTAAGTGGGTAGAAAGCAAGCAAGCAAGAAACGTTGATCAGTTCTCGTTCTGTTTGCTGCATAGGCTTGTGCAGTGTCTAATGGTTACTTTTCAATAACAGGTCGTAGATATCAGAAAGAAGACCATCACATACTTTGACTCATTTGGAAAAAAAGGAGACAAGATTTGTCAAGCTATATTGTAAGTAACTGCTCAGTCAATGCTTTTTGCTGTGAACTCTGAGGAGGTTTTTAGGTTTTTGTATCTGTGACACAACTTGAAGCGTTTGCTTTTTTTGTAGCTAGGGAATAGAAACCATTCTCTCACATCATCCCTTCCATCCAGGGAAGTGATACGTGTCTGGGTTTCCAGTATGTGCATGTACAAAGCATCACCATGAAGTGTATGCAAAATTAACATTTGAACTGTTCCTCCAAATGCCTTATGACAGTAAAAATCTGCTGACATCGTATTGTCCTGCCATTTGGCTTCCTGTGGTCTTTCAGCATCTCTTTTTTTATTGGCCTAAAATACAGAGATGAAAAGTTGTTTTGTTTTGTTTTTAAACAGCCAATATCTGCAAGAGGAAAGCTGGGAGAAAGATAAAGTGAAGCTGTCATTTTCGGAGTGGACCCTTTACAGCATGGAGTCCCATGTATGTGAGCACTACTGGGATCTGAAATCCATAACTCCTCATCACAGAGGCCTTAACACTGTCTTAATAAGTCTAAGCTTTAAACATCCATAAACATTTTTATCAGGTACCATCTCAGGCTGCAAGTGGATTAGGAAGCCGTGCAGGGATGCGAGGTGGTGCCTTTCCTTGCTGGCTGAATACTTTATTTTTCTATTAGTCTGCCATGTTAGGGTGAATCTGGCTTTGCACCTTTTTTACAAGTTGAATTTAAGAATCTGTTTAGCTGTTGTCTGAGAGAGGAGGCTTCCAAAAGCAGGTAGAGATGATTCTTCTTCGGAGTGTGAATTCTGGCAGGTGATGAAGAAAAGGGTTGAGCTGATGTCTTTCAACAAATTAATAGCAATAAGCAGCATCTGCAAACTCAGCAGACGTGGCACTGTTGCACTGCTCACAATGCAAACTTCAAGACACCTTGCAGGGTGGATTGCTGCTACCCCTGCAAGAATTTGAATTATAAGATCCAAGCAAAGGAAACAGAGGGCTGTGAAGATGCTCACTCCTGGGTGTACTCCTGGTGTGTGGGATGGGTTGTGCATGTAGGTTTGCAAGTCAGAGTATTGGTAGTGGTGGGTGGTGCTACCTCCAAGTTGCTTTTCTTTTAAGATAGAAAAAATTCTCCACCTTCTTTCCATTCATTAGGAAATTCCTCAGCAATTGAATGGAAGTGACTGCGGAGTTTTTATGTGCAAATATGCAGATTATGTCTGCAGAGACAAACCCATTACCTTCACTGAGGTGAGCCAAAGTTACTAACAGTTTCAGATGAATGCACACGTGAAGGGGCTGGGGAAGTTATGCAGCTGTTTGTTCTGCCTGGGGTGGAAGTTTTGTACTTCCATTTGTGGTGCATAGTGCAAGGGCTGGAACTCAAAGTGGCCTCAGCAGAGTAGAGCTGTATTCATCATCCTTAGGTCTCAGGCAAACCTCAAACTTCCCCTTGTGCAAGGTATGGTTTTTGTATCTTTTGGAGAATTAGGTTTAACCCTTGGACTGGTTAAAATATGAGTTATCTTCTGATGCAGTGGCCATTAATCAGAGCTTGTTTTAAGCTGTTGTTAATAGTCAAATAAATCTGGTTTTGTTGGATTTCATCCATGCAGCACCAAAGTGGGTGTGAGACACAGCAGACCATGTTGTACTCACAGTGGCTGCCTTGGCAGTGCTTAAAATGAACTTGATGTGAAAGAACACGATGCGTGTTTGCTGTCTCTTCCTGCTATGTATTGAATGGGTTTTTCTTTTCTTTTCTTTACAGAAAGACATGCCTTATTTCCGCAAGAAGATGGTATGGGAAATAATCCATCAGCAGCTGCTGTGAGACATGAACCGTTAGAGTAACACTGTGGATCACCTCGCAGTCACTAACTCCTATCTTATTATTTTATTTACTTTTACAATGCCTTATTGAACAGGAAGCAGGCACTTAAATGTTTCTCTTTTAGGCTATAAAGTAATGGTTAATTTTTTTTCCTCAATTTCGGAGACAGTGCCTCTCTTTGAAATGAGCTGGTGCGCCTTGAGTGAAAGTCTGAAAGTTTGCTGTGACTTCACCAGGGGAGTGATTGAGAAGAAATGGTGTGAACTTCTGTCGTTGGGATGGAGGGCTCCCACCTCACAGCACACGTGGCCACATTTATGGACAAATGGGACTCTCAAGTCTGGTGGTAACAGTCGTGGTAGCCAAACTGATCTCCCCAAGGACAATGTGCTTAGCTGCTGTTTCTTCAAGGAGAGTTTTCTTCTGTTTCTGGAATATCTATGATCTACTTGATTCCTAAAACTGGATTTGTGATGACCATAGAAAGGGGAAAAAAAAGTATTTACGGTCTTTTTGATTTGTAACAAATCTGTAGTGAAACCCCTTTAGTTGGGGTGGTTTTGTTTGTGTTTTGTCTGCAGGGAATTATCTAATGTGAAAAGAGAAGTATTTATTTTGTTTCTTTTTTAAAGTAAATATGTAATTTATACAAAGAGCTTTACTGGAAAGAAATTCTACCTGGTGATGAAATAGAGTGTTTTTTCTAAATGAAAAAAAAAAAAAAATAGGTATCAGAGTGGTTTTTGCTTGCTTATGTGAGGAAGAAGACTTTAGCTAGGGTGAGTATCAGAGCACAGAAGCCTCTCAGCAATGCTGGTGAAATCCTGAATGGGCAGCGAGAATGTTTTATTGAGTCCAGTTGTATCTGGTCTGTTGTCTGTATCCTGCTGAGCTCATGCTCTTTAACTTTACTAAGTTTGGGGTCTTTGAGTTCCCTGTGTGCTGTTGCAGAGGGGAGGCTGTTGCATACTTGGCATATAGGCTGCCTGTTGGGATGGTGGTATTAAGAACCACATCAGATTGTTTCTGTGAGGTGGTTCCTGACCAGTGACAAGGCATTCCCTCAGCTTTGAGGTAAAGATACTGATCTCTGGGGATGCCCCCTCTGTGCTCATGTGAATGATCTGCTTTCCTAGGGGAGCTGCTGAGTGGGTTTATCTGTGCTGTGGCCAGGAGCTGGATCAGTCTTTGCTTCCAAACTGATTAGCTTAATCCATCACAAATCAGAGGAGGTTCCCCAAAGAGGTAACAATTACAAAGGCAATCTGCCACGATTTGTCCTTACATGAGATACTTAATCTTCTGTGGATTCCCTGAGGACGTGAGGGATTTTAGCTGTTGATTAGTTAGGACCTGGTAGCTGACTGCTTGAAGTATCCTTTTCCAGTTTGCTTGTGGATCGTTACCCTTAGGTCCCTGTAAGATGCTCTAAGAACATCCTCTGGTGGGGAATCATCTCTTATATCTTCTGTGATGCCTTGAGAGAGTGCCTGGGGCCTGTGATGCAGTGTGAGTCACATGAGTGCTCCCTGGGTGGGAGGGGGAGGGAGAGGGGGCTGCTCTCATCCTGCTATGAGCTCTGCTGATGCCATCAGCTGCGTGGTGACGCAGTCATTACTGGCAGGGAGGACCTTGGGGGGGCTCAGCCCTTGTGTCAGGATCAAACCCGTCACTAAGGTTAGTGTGGGTCATCCATGGGGGTGGGAGAAGTCATTGCTGACTGCAGGCTGGCTGGGGGTGAGAGGACAGACCTGGGAATTGCTGCTGCAACACGAGGCTGGAGGCTGCTTCTACAAAGTACATGGGCACAAGCACCCTGCTTTGCTGTTTGGAGCTGCTGGTGATGGGTGCACCAGAGGGAAGGAGCCCAGTCCAAGACTGTGAGTTGGGTTTTTTTGGCACCAGCCTTGCTGCCCAGGCACACATCTCCCAGTAGCAGTAAATCACAGGTGCAGGGAGCTCCCACTGCTGTGTTTGCACCCCGTTCTCATAGAGGGGTGCAGTTTGAGCCCCATTTAGGCCATTCCTCATTGGCCACATACCAATGGTCTGCTCCCTGCTTTTGGGAGATGATGCTTTTGCTTAGCAAGAGACATGGCCATGGGAGCCAGCAGGGATGCTTGAGCTCTAGGGCTGCATAAGCACAACTGGTGGTCCATCAGAAAACACGATGTGACCTTGTTTTGGCTTTGCCATCTGGAGAGTCGTGGTGATTTCAGTGCAGAGAGGTGGCTTTAACGATGGTGACATCTCTGGAAGTTTATACAACTGCTGCCAATGCCTGCAACCCCTCCTCAAAAAACTAGATAAAGAGCCCATGTGGGAGGTGAAATTTGGCTGTGGTGAGGCTGCTGCAGCCTGAGGGGGTGGGATGGGGGAGGTTGGGCTTCAACCTGAGTCCATTGGGTCAACATCCAACCCCAAGGTCAGCAGCGAAGACACGGCACGCTGGAGGCTGACAGGGACAGCACATCTCTTCCTTTGGCCATCAGGGCCTCCATGTTGCTGGATTTACAACAAAACCCCCAAATCCCCAACCGCAGCCCTACTGTCCACCCACCCTTTTCCCACCCAGGGCCTGTGCGCCCACCCTATGCTCAGCCTGGCCACAGCCACCAAAGGGCACAGGAAAGAAAAGCAACGCAGAGCAAGCTCAGGCTCTTGTTAGCTGGATATATTTTGGTTTTTTTTGTTGTTGTTGTCATCGTTGGCTTTTTTCACAGAACACTTTGCAGCAGACAAAAACTGGCATTGCAGTCTGTCGGTACATCGCTGGCACGGGCTCAGCCTTCAGCACCTCGCCGGGCGGTCAGCCCTGGTCCTTTCTTTTGCTGGTTGGCTTTCATCACCTTTTGCTATTTTTTTTTTTCCTTTTTACCTTTTTTTTTTTTTTTTTTTGTGCTTTTTTTTTTTCCTCTCATCTTTTTAACGTTTCTCCAAAGGAATGGCCACTGGCCCTGGGCTAGCTGGAGATTACAGAAGAGCTCTCGGACACGTGGGCTGGTTTCCTCCTCCCGCCTCGCAGCTGACTTGGTCGAGATAGTTTTCCAACTTTTGTTTTTATTACAAAAATAAAAAAATGCTCCAACTATCAGTTTTACAAGGCATACAAAAAATCTCTAAAAGGGAAACACAAGCGCAAGGTGCTGAGGTACGAAAACCTGAGGTAGTTCTTTGTGTGTGTGTGTGTATGTGTGTGTGTATGCGTGTTGTGTTCTTGTAAAAACTTTTGCAAGGTCTTTTCTTTCTTCAAGCCCTGGGCCAACAACGTTTTGAAAATATTTTTTTCTCTTATTTCTCCCTCCAATATGAAAAAAAAAGCTCCCAAAAAGCAATTTATCCTCCAAAAGAGCCCTGGGAGGGGGGGGTTGTTCTTTGCGGGCTGACCAAGGGGCAGACTGGTTTTGGGGTGCTAACATTGAGCACAGCTTTGTCTGGCAGTGATGGAGACAAAGAGATGGACAGGGCATGGGGCAGAACAGATGCAAAACCCAGTTTTGGACTCTGTGAAGCAAAGAGGAAAGGGCGTGTGAAAGGGAGAGTTTTCTCTGGTAGGAGACGGTATCCCTTCTGTTGGCTCATACAGGCAATCCCCATGGCACTGCTTTCACAGCCCTGAAGAAACTGCTCGTTAACACTTCTTTAATTGTTGTTCCTGCTGGCAATCCTACAACTCTGTGCTACTGTGCATTAGAGAACCACTGGACTAGTTCCTTTCCTTAAGCCTAGAAAAGCCTGCTTTGACTAAAAACAAACATCCCACCCCTGTGATATTAAAAAAAAAAAAAAAGAAAAAAAAACAGAAAAAGAAAAAAAAAAATTAAAAAATTATAAAAATTAAAAACCAGCATTAGTTTTGTTATTGATATATTAATTCTAAAATATATGACCGGCACGGATGCCGGATGGGATCCTCCAGCCACACCTGGCCAGGGAATGGTTGCAAAACGGGGCATTTGGGGGAAACAATAGAAACGATTAGAAAAACAAACAAACAAAACAACAAAATCCCAAACCCCTCTGCCTATGTTAGTCCAACTAAAGGGATAGCGTCAGGAATCGAGTCAGGCGGAGGCTGTGGGATGGAGAGGCCGGGCGCTGCGGGGTGCAGGGGGCCGTCCCCACATCATCCCTGTGCCCCGGGGTGCTCTTTGGTTGCTCCCTGCCCATGCTGGCAGGGGTACATTCATCGGCGCGCTGGGAGGGAGCCTCACTTGCTGTGCTGCGAGGCAGGGGCTCCCTGAGCATGTTTCTGCTCCTGCTGCTTCACCTGCTGGACGATTTCCCTGATCTTGCGCTGTGCAGTCTGGAGAGAAAGTGAGAGGCTGCGGTCAGGGGAGCCCAGGGTGCCCAAATATGTGCTTTACCCAGACGGAGCCTATCTTTAATTTCAGCACTGCCACCACTGGGGAGAGCTGCTGAGACACCAATAGTGCCTCCTAGAGCCACCAGGAAAAGGATGCTCGTGTAGGGTGGGCATCTCAAAGGCTGAAACCTGGAGAGGGGAGAGAAGACGCAGCAAAAGCCTCACCTGGCTGGCAAAGAAATGCCCAATGATCTTAACGATGACCTCCTCATTCTCATCTGGGGTTTGGTCTCGGGGCACGATGACCTCTGCGCTCGTTAAGTTTTGCAGCTCGTTCACCTGCAGCAGAAGGCAGAGCCTGTGTTGCTGGGGTAGCCATACCCAGGAGGACCCAGCCCTGTTGCTGTGCCTGCCGTACCGTTTTACCACCTTTGCCTATCACACGGCCAGCTGCAAAGGAAGGCACCTTGATGTGGGCTTCAAGCTTCACCTCTTCTTTCGGGTTGAAGAAGTTCTCTTCCTTCAGCTTCCCAAATATTCGCCCCTGGGCCTGCAGGAGGGTGATGTGAAATGTAGGAAAACAGCAGCCTGCACCCCAGCACCAACAAGCAGTGTCCCCCAGCCCCAGCATACCAGGGACCCAAAGGATACTGAGTTGTGCTCCCATTCCCAGCACTGAGCCCACCTTGAACTGCGCCTCGGGTGGCCCTGTGATGATGACCATCCGCTCAGTGGCATCAGGACCTTCTGCTGGGGCAATCTGCAAAATAGGATGGGGTGGGGGGGCAGGAGTGTGTGAGCAGGCTCTGCTTTGGCAAGACCCACCTGGGAGGTGCTGTCCCCAGTGCTGTATGGGGACAGCTGGGCTTGTAGACACTACCTAAACCCCCCCTTCCCCTCCAAGGAGAGGGTGATCCAGCTCCTTGGCACTTCTGGTGCACACTCAGCCATTGCCACCCACATGTCTGGAGAACATCAGGGTGCTATGGCATCCTCCAGACACAGGGATCCACACAGAGAGCTGCAGGGATAGGACCACCACCCCATGGTGGGCACCACCTCTTTGGGGGAGCCCCTTTCCACCCCCTAGGAGTAGAAAGCCAGATGTGAGGCTGCTGCTCACCTTGATGGAGGCCCCTGCAAAGCGTGCCAGCTGCTTGATGTGCTGCCCCTTCTTCCCAATGATGGCTCCCACTGCCTGCGTCGGGATGAACAGGTTCACAACCTCCTGCTCAGGGAGCTGCCAGGGAGAGAAAAGGTTTAAACTTAACTCCTGCATTTTTCCATTTGCCACTCCAGGTGAAGGTGGTTGGCATATGACCTCCCTCCAAAACTGTCCCAACCAGAGCCTGCCAAGCAGGAGCACGGTGCTCTGTGGGGACAGGTGCTGCCCCAAGCTGCATCCCTGCCCTGGGGACAGCAGAGGGGGACCTGTGGGGATACAGGGGCACTTACGGGGTGCTGATGTGGGAAGGCACCAACTGGGGAGGCTCCATACAGCCCTGAGAGGTACGCCGAGGAGCTCTGCAGGGGGACAGGGAGCAGAGTCAGGGATGTCCCCAAAACCCGTGACAGGGACATGGGGATGTCCCTCAGTCTGCAAACCAACACCAAAACAATGCTGTGACCAACAGTGGTACTCAGTGAAGACTGGGTTACAACTGAATCTGTGACTATTTCATGTCATGGATTCATGACATGATTCTCAGTGCCAGAGGAGATAAAGGTTGCACCAAGCTTGTGCTCTAGCCACAGGCATCATCTCCTGCACCCCAGCACCCTACCCAGCCCCAGGGGCATGGGGAGCTCAGTACTTCCCTATTCCTCCTCACATCATGAGCCTCTTTCCTCATGCTCCACACACTTCTCCAAAGCTCAGGATTTGAGCTCCAGCCACCTTGATCACCACTCTGACAGTGACATGGATGTAATATTAGGAACAATTTCTTCTTAGAAAGAGTGGTGAGGCACCAGCACAGCTGCCCAGGGTGATGGGGGACTCACCATCCCTGGAGGTGTTCCAGAGCTGTGATGTGGCACTGAGGGATGTGGTCAGTAGGCACAGTGGGAAGCAAGCTGGGGTTGGATCTAGGGATCTTGGATATCTTTTCCAACTGTAATGACTTCTAGGATTTCATGTGAAACACAAGCCCCAGTTCCTTGGGGGCAAGGAACTGCCTGGCAGCCAATTTCTCGTTTAGCATTGGCTTGCTCCTTGTTTTGCTCTGGGAAATACACGGTTTTGGGTAAAGGAGCCGAGGAGCCTGCCTGGAAGAATTGAAAGCTGCTCCAGTCCACGAAGCAAGAAATGCTGCTGCCAAATTAGATGTTCCAACCTGCATTTCCCAAAGGCACCAACCTGTACTTCCCATCTTCTCTCAGGGACATACGGACAGAAAGACTGATCAAACACCCCATAGACATGAAGTATGCTGAGACACTCCCCTGCTGCTCCAGAGGCTGAAAGCAGGAAAGGAACGAAGGGGCTCCCTTTGCTTTCAACCTGCTCCAATGCTCTTCCGCCCTGAATTTAGCAATGCCCAGGGGATAGGGACTCATCTGGGTATCACCACACATGGCCACAAGCCCCAGGGTCACACTCAGCCGCCTCTCTGCACCACAAGCCCAGCATGGGCTCAGCACTCACCGTTCTCCTCCTGCCACTCTGCTGTTGGCGTTGCCAGAAAAAGAAAACAGTACAAAAGTAAATTAACATGCAGTGAGGCATTCTCCCTGCATTTAAAGCATCTGAGTAAATACACAGAGAGAGATATGGACAGGGAGCTGGACTGGCTTCGCAGGTTTGCACTCTATCTCTTGGTCGCCCTAAGAGTGCCCTACAGATGCTGGGGGACAAGAGGATGTTCACCACCACTACAGGGGCCTGATGTCCTCCCTGCCCACCGTCCTCATGGGTTTTTGGCTTGCATGTGTCCTGGTGTGTGTCTGTGCAGCTCAACATGGACACATGTAGGCATAACGCTATAATGTGATGGAAAGCACAGCAATAATAGCAGGATGGCAAAATCTTTGGCTGCAGCAGATGAGGACAAGCCCAGATGCAGCAGCCATGGATGCAGAAATGAAAGGAAGAAGCTGCTTACCTTTGGAATTCCTCAGGTAGGCAGGGATCTCTGGTGAGATACCCTTGCCTCAACTGCCAACCCTTAAACAAGGTCTGGGAAGAGGCAGATCTTGGCTCCAGCCTTCTGGTCACTCAGGTACAATGCATGCACCTGAGCTCCCCTGGATTGGACCTGCCTTCCAACCAGGTGCTCAATCACTACTTCAGGCCATGACTTAGCATTTCCACTACAATAGGCAACACAGCCCAGATACCCGAATACACCTACATACATCTCCTTCCTAAGGCTGTACCTGCATTTACCAGTTACAAGACTTCTGGAAAAATAAGAAGGACCTGTGTAATGTCAACAAGAAGAGTTTCCAGAGGTGTTTCTCTCTGAAAATACGCCTTCAGTAAGCACAACCCTCTGAGTGTCAGCGAGCAGGGGGAGCCGCTGCTCCTCCCCATCCCAGCCACGCTCAACATGCTGGCAGCAATGCCCACAGGTCCTGCCACAGTTCAGCCCTTCTGAGGAGGTTGTGTGCCCACATCTGCAGGGCACCACCTGGCCATGATGCACGGGATGTGGATAGTGTGGGTAAAAAGCAGAGAACCACCTTCAAGACGTGGCAAGTCCTAGGCAGAGGTGAGACTGAGCTCAGCGCAACACCAGTATGCAGCTCGTCTACCCAGGGAGCGAAACCCAAAGTGGGACAAGCCAAAGGCATTCACCTCCTCTCCATCTGGGAATGAGCATCTTCCCAAACCAGCCAAGAGTTGGTCTCTTGCTCAAGGCTTCCCATGCCATTCCTCCCACAGCTACTGCACCAACCCAACTCCAAGAGCTACGAAGGCTCCCACAGATTAACACCCGCACCCCAAATTCTCATGCACTTACTGCAAAAGGGTGGTAAGGGGCGGCTGCGGCAGCGCCTCGAGCCCCCACTGAGGATGGGAGCATGGACAGCCCTGTTGAGAAGATCCCCAAAGCGCTAAGGTTCAGTCCTGGGATCAGGTTGGCCTGTTGCTAGAAATGTAAAGACACACAGAGATGGTTGAGTGGGTTTTTGAGGTTTTCTTTTTTACCAAATAGCACAGCCCTGTCCACAACAGATTGTCCCCCACAGCTCCATTTTTTTCTGGTTGCCTCAGCAGTGGCTCTGAAGCAGTGATATGTCAGAGGGGTGGGCTGGAAACTTACATTGACAGCCACAATGTCGTTCTCATAGGCCTCTCGCAGCTTCTTCATGATCTCCACTTCAGCATTGGAGCATGCCTCTGTGCTGCCCTTCACCGTGATGGTCCTCTCAGGGTTATAAATAGTTAAATCCTGCAAACTAGCCCACATTCAGACAGAACAGGAGATGCTGTTATATTTCACAACAAAAAGAAAGGAGAACTATCAAAGCAGAGAATAGGGATCGCCCTCTGGACAGCACAGGACTAGATGTGATGCTCTTCCCTGGGGCCACCACCCATTCTTGATGAGGAATGTATAAGGGAGGACGTGGCTGCATGGCTCAATGGTGTGCTGGATGGTGGGGAACTGCCAGCACTACCCAGCACTTACGGTGAAATGGTGATCTTCGTGCCGGTGTCCTGCTCGATCTTCTTGAGGTTGCGGCCCTCCTTGCCTATCAGCCTCCCCACCAGGCTGTTATGTGCTAGGATTTTCAAGGGGATCTCTTCTGCTCTAAAATATAGAAAAAAAACCAAAATCTCAAGGCCCAGTTGGCCCAGAGACTGTTCTCCAGCAAAGGGCAGCAGCAACTCGTGGAAGGAACAGAACACCACTGCATCTCACTGCATGTCCTCAGCTTTTGGGGAACAGGAGCTTGGGAACTTCTCAAACCTGATGGCACTCCTGTGTTTCACGTGGTTTAGAATCATAGAATCGTTTCAATTGGAAGAGTTTTGCTCTCAAAGTTCACACCCTCTAGAGCCACCTGATTTTCTGGACCCCATGGCACCGCCCAGCAAACCCACTGACATGACATGACTCAGCCAGGTGCACTTACGATTTGGTTTCATCAGCTTCCTTCTGCATGATATCAAGAATCATGCGGCACGCCTCGGAGCAGCCCTCTGGTGTGGCATGGATGGTGATGGGCTTCTCAGCAGCGCCAGCATTCTCCTTCCGATGGATGTCAACCCTATGGCAAAACAACCAGCAAAGAGAAGACCCTGAGACGAGACTGGTGTTGCAAGAAGTTACCTGAGTGTATAGCATTCAGCTTACTAAACACAAACAGGCTCATTTCAACATCTGATCCGTCTTTGGGCAAAGCTGATGTAACATCTACTGCCCCTTGGAAGCAGTGTTTTGCTTCCGCTGATTAGATCGCATCTGGCCTGCATGTGCCTCTGCCATCTGCCTGGGAACAGCGGGATGTCAACCCCCATCCAACAACACGCCGAGATGGGGTTGAACAGATCTCTGCTGGACAGAACCCTCAGCAGCCAGCTCTGTCCCTGTGGCTCATCCTGCTGGAGCAGGGATTGGCTCAGAGCCTTCTGGCCAACTTCAATCTCTCTGCACAATACCTGAGGCTGTGCAGTACCACCACGTCCTCCAGGACAGAGGGACGACTTACCCATGGTTTCCACAGCCTGGAGTCACACGTGCACGTTAACAACAGCTCTTGTACTCACGCCCTTCCATGTGAGACCAGAAAGCTTTCCCCTGTGCACTGGCCGAGCCCGTGCTCTATCTCCTCGCTCCTCCCTCGGCAGGTGGCAGGAAGGAGGCACGGGCCTCACCGTGCCTGGCAAGGGCCCTGAGAGAGAGGAGAGAGGAAAGCAGGGTAGGAGATTCCTGGGCACGAACCACACATCTTGAAGAACAGCTTTCCTCCTTTTCCACCGCATCGTTGTCCCCCCAGAGGGCAACTCGGTGCAGCCATCTTGTTGGCTGTGTGGCCACCATCTTGCAGCCAGCCTCGACCTCCTTGGAAGGTGCCATACTTGCTGTTAAGCAAACATCACCAGCATCACCGGTTCAGCTCCATCGTGGCACTGGCTGGTAACAGCCAAGTTCTTGCTTTTCTATGAGGTCCACGTCCCAACCAGGACTGTTTGTGGATGCTGCAGGGCAAGCAAGGCAGTGTGTTGCAGTGTGAAGGGTGATGGGAGGTCATGGCAGGTTCACTTGGGTCATCTCCTCCAGGAGCCCACCAGACAGCACACAGGACCACGAAGGCTTCATCTACAGGGAAGGGGAGCAGCTGGGCAAGCCTTCCCTGAGCTAAAGGCCTGAACTACAGCAGCTTTGAAACGAACCTGAGGGTGGTCTCAACCAAGCACTGAAGAGGAAAAGCAGAGTCTGGTGGCTTGGAGGGCTGCGTCGCTCCAGCAGATCTCCTACAGCTCTGGCTAGAACTGCTCAGGTAGGACACAGGTCCTCCTTGGACCGTACTAAGAAGCACTGGTTGATTTCATCTCTGCTTCAGTTGTGTCTATGGCACACAGTGACCAAGCTGCTTGCTGTCACTCACATATGACATCTTCCAAGCTGCCACAGGCTGTGGAGCTCCATCAGGTTGACTTGGAGGACTTGTTCCTTCAGAAGCCTGAGGCAGTGCTCAGCAAACATGGGGACATCCCCTGCCACCCTGTGACACAGATGGGTTGGCAAAAGGATCACAAAGTGCCCGCAGAAGGGACAACAGGTCCGTGCTTCAGCGTGGTGGTGCCATTTTACACCAGCTTGGTGTGACTGTTGGGAAGTACAAGGAGGAACCTGTGGCCACTGCAAAGAGAATGGAGCTGGGCACCTTCTTGACCCCACAGGCAGCTGAGTTTGGTGGAGATGGGGCACGTGGCTGTGCTCTGGTATCAAAGTGGAGCTGAGAGCCACGAATGAGCTGAATGGAGACTCCAAAACAATGAGAATCCAAGAGAAAGATGGGCCAGGTTTCCTGCTGGCTTACAATCCATCCCAAATGTGGATGTGTGAGGATGAGCTCAGTCTGACGACAGGAGATGGGACACCAAGAACAGGCTGCTGTATCCAGGTACGTCCTCCCCACAGAGCCAGAGGGCTCCAGGCATCCCAGCACATCCCAGTGCTGATAGTGCACAGGTCCAGTTCAGTGGGAGGATGGAGAAGGGGATGGCCATGGAATAGGATGGCTCAGCCTAGGGTTGGTTTTGTCCTCAGAGCTTGGGAAGCATCTCTGGCCACTGCTAAGCATGAAAGCAGGCATGGGAAGCCTACACCTCTGCAGCAGAAACTGCCCATATAGCAGCAAACGTTTTGGGGCAGAAATCAGAGCTTGCAGAGGAAAACTTTCCAGTCTCAGGTGGCAAGGGTGAGGGCACACCCACTGCCAAACACTCTCAGGGACTCACCTGGAGAAGAAGGGCTGCCATGAGCCAAAATGCAGCACACGTTGCAGCTGGGAGGGCAGCAGGTGCCTTCACAGCTACGAGGTGGCCACGCTCCCCTCCTTACAGGGCTGTCCCCTCTCCATACAAACCTCTTTTTGTCAACCAGGCCACCTCTAAAACCCAGCGTCCATGATCTCTGGGAGCAGGGGATGGTGGCAAAGAAGATGAGCAGAGCTCGAGCTCCAAGTTCAGCCCAAGGGACGCATGCACATAAATCTTCAAACATTTCTCTTACCCAGGCTGGAGGTTAACTTTTCATACAAGAACTTTTCATACAAGGATGGGCACCAGTCTTTGCTTACTGCTGGCAGGAGCAAGCATCAGCAAAGAGAGCATCCTCCTGAGCTATGCCAAGCACTACACCACTCTGCTCTGCAGACCATAGGGCACAAACACTGGAGACCATAATCCAGAGATCTGCAGTGGTCAGCGTGCTTCAGAGACAGCTGAGCACCAGCTGGGGCCAGAAGGAATTCGGCTCAAGCGGATGCACTATTAAGGTTCAAATAATTTCCTCTAAAAGCTTCTCTGAGAAATAGGACACCCTGGAGGATGTTCTGGTACAGGAGGCTCATGTCCTGTGGGATCAGCGGGTTCAGGATGATGAACATGGGAGAAGACAGCTTTGGGTTAAACACAAACAAATCTGGGCAGAAACAAAGCGTGCAGGAAAACCATGCAATCAATGTAAACATCGACATGAAAAACATGGGAAACTTCAACAAGATAGTCTTTCTCTTGCTTTTCCTTTTTCTTCAAAAGTAAAAACATCAGACTGTGGGGAAAAAAAGGCTTCAAATTGCTACAAAAAGCCCAACCTTCATGCAACACTTGTGCGGCACCCCATTTAACCCTATCTGACATCTCTAATCATTATAGAGCACCAATAAGGAGCAAATCCCATGGGCAAAGACAGTCACCATCTCTTGGATCCCCATTTTATCCCCAAATTTCCCCATTTTCTCCCAGTGCTCAGCCCAAGCCATGTTCTCAGGGTGAGAGTTCTGTGACCCAAGTGATGCTGGCTGGCTGACTGCAGAGAGCGCATCCATATTGGGGCTGCACTGGAGCTGGCAGTGCTCTCCTGCTTTGTAAAGCACGAAGCTTTAAAATCTCCATTTCTGTCTATTTATAGTACAAGTTCCCCTCTGAGAGCCCTGCTGGAAGCAGACTCCCCCCAGGCCAGCAAAGACGCATCTGGGATGTGGGGTTGATCTGGCCGACCCCATGGGACTCCACGACAACGGGACAGGCTCACTGCCCTCTGAGGAAGCTACACCCCAAAAATACAATGTTTGCCAACAGTCAAAAGCAAGGGAACCTACAGAGTCCTGCGGAAGGAAAGAAAACCATTTGAGGTACTTACTTGGACTGGGTTTGCTTAGTTAGGTTCTTTATGGTCAAGCCCTCCTTTCCTATGATCGCACCAACAAACTGCGTGGGCACCAGCATCCGCAGTGGGAAATCGAGCTGTTTGGGCTGTGAGGAGCCCCCCGGGGAGGTGCCCTGCTCCCTGGAAGCGTGGCCCCCGCGGCGGGATCGCTGGGGGGGTGGAGGGGAGCTCACCTCTTCATCCGGGATGTAGGAAACCTTGAAGGAATAGCTCTCAAGCTGATGGCCGCTGAGCTTCTCAATTGCTCTGCAAGGCAGGGAGAGAAGGGGATGGTGAAGGGATGCCTTCTAGAAGTCAGTCAGATGCTTCTCATGGCTCCAGGGAGCAGAAGTGGAGTTTTTGCCAATTTGGGTCTCCAACTTGGCTTGTCCCCAGATGCCAAGAGGTACATGTAGGACTCCCACCACCGCAGTGGTTCTTCAGCATCTCTCCCACCTTCCTCTCTGCATTTGTATTCCTCTTTCCCAGCAGCTCAGGCTGGTTGTACTGGTGGTAACACAGCGCATTCCCAGTTCAAGTCTAGAAGACAACTCCCTCATATAACCTGATACCGACAGGGATCTGCAGGCTTGTAAGAAAGATGGGGTGTGGAGGGCACTGCAAGCGGACACAGCTGAGTGCTGCCTGGGGACAGGAGAAGGCACAAAAGGAACAAGCACAAGGCCATAGGACAGCCCTGAATGTATATGAAGATCTATGAGATTAATAACAACCCAAGGAGCCTGAGGGCTTGGGAAATGTAAGCGGGCTTTGCTGTGAGAATTCACGTGGTTGGCTGGAGATTTGTCTTGCCTGGAAGGTCCACAGTGAGGTCAATGGGGCTGGTACTATCTCAGGTCTTCTCTCCCTTAGATGCTGCAGGGCAACAGCTCTCCATGGGAAGTGGCATAGCAATGTGGACAAAACCTACCCTCATCACATGGAGATGCACCAGCCTCCACCAGTTCTTTGGCTCATGGAAAGAAGCAAATGTGGCTGATGGTGCAAACCCCTGCCCATGCACAGTGCTTCACCAAGTTCCCAGAACAAAAAGAAAACACAAACAAAAGGAAATTAAAAAAAAAAGAAAAAAAAAAGCCACTTACACTTTTGCTTCTTCTTTTGTTGCATATGTAACGTTGACAACTGCAGTTTCTGTGTCTGTGTTAACTGGGGGAAAAGCAAGACAGTGAGTGTCAGTGCACAGCAGGAGATGGCCAGCACTACCACTCCATCCCTTGGTACCCCATCTTTGCAACAGAAGGCAAGCCATTTCCTAATCACTGTGAAAACCACATTTACATTTGATAGGATTGGCTATTCCAGCATAGGCTGTGCTTGGGATGAGCAATGGGGCTTTTGCACAGATGGGGACCACGCTGAGAAGAAAACCATGGAATCATGGAGTACCCTGAGTGGGAAGGGACCCAAGGGGTCAATGAGTCCAGCTCCTGGCTCCACACAGGACACCCAAAATCCAAACCCTAAGCCTGAGGACAGAAACAGCAAACCACCTTACCTTGCTCTACATTCTCCACTGTCCCATACTGAGCCAAGAGGCCATCCAGCACCTAGGGAGAGAGCAGCAAGTGGGAAGTGTGGGGCAGGAGCCATCCAGGCTCAGATCCTGCTCCACCCCTGACCTCCTCCCAAAGTCAGTTTTGGGATGAGCCATTTCCAGGAGGACTCCTCTGCTCCTCAGGGCCATTTCCAAGCCACCTCTACCCAAAAGCTCTATCACCTTCACCCACCCTCACCCCATCACTCCAGAGAGACCAGAGGAGAGCAACAGGAAGGAGATCAGCCCTCCCCACCTCCCAGCTGGGATTACTGGAAGGTAAAAAGAGGACCACATGGGTGCTTTGAGGGGGCACAGAGCAAGCGTGGTGCTTCTCACCTCCCACTGCAGGTGCGGGGGGATGTTTCGGATCTGGATCTTTCTGCTCCTGCAAAGAGAAAGCCCCGAGTTGTGGTGGCGGGTGGGCAGCCATACCAGGGGCTTTCTGGGAAGGAGACAGCAAGACCCCACCAAAGCACCCCGCTGCCCAGAGAGCCCCAGGGGACAGCCCCAAGTCCAGCCCCGGCCACCTCCTGCTGAGCCTGAAGCCATCTCAGGAAAGCTCCATCCCCATAGTGCTGATGTGTTTCCAAGGAAACCTCTCGGCACAGCCTCCACGCACCACAGCAGTGCAAGATGCAGGCACACACCTGCCCTGCAACCCAGGTGCCGCTGCCACACAGCTCTGCATCCCTGCACTTCTTCCTCTGGGTCACCTGCACCTCACTGCTGTGTTTTAACAGACGTTATTTTTCCCTTTTTTGCTGCTGTTTTCAGCCCAGAGCATCTCACAGAGCTGCCTTTCCCTACAGCTGCACGAGTGCTCAGCCCGGTGCAGGGAATCTGCAGCCTGCTCTGGGGACCCACCACGGCCAGAGGTTTTGCAAAGCTTTACCCTTGCTTGGGACAAGCTCCAGGTGGAGACATGCTGGGGATGTGATGCTTTGGGTCACTGTTCCCAAAATACTTTTGCAAAACACTACTAACACCACTACACAGCCCCTCTTTGTGACCCTCTCTATGCTGCAGGTCTCTCCAAAGGGGGCTCTGCCAATAACAGAAATGGAGCACTGAGAGATATGGGGAAGCCAGACCCAAAGAACACACCATCTGCTGCGGCATTACCAAACCCTGATCCCTCCAGTGGCCATAGATTCCTGTCCCAGCTGTCACCAGGGGGATTTCAGGACTGGGTGCACAGCTGCAAGATCCTTGCATGGCAAGGAAAAAGATTCATCCCATCCCATCCTCTTCATCCCATCCTATCCCATTTCATCAACTTTACTGCATCCCACTCATCCTACCCTTTCCAATCCACCCATCCCTACTCCCATCCTGCTTCATCCCACTCTACCTCATCTCATCAACTCATCTTGTCCCACAGCATCCCACCCATCCCATTTTAGCTCACGTTCCATCTCACCCCACCCATCCTGTCTCAATCCACCCATCCTTCTGCATCCCATCCCACTGTACTCATTCTGTCCCACAGCATCCCACCCGCCCCATCACACCTCAACACATCTCATCTTCATTCATCCCACCCACAGAATCACAGACTTGTAGAGGTTGGAAGGGACCTCTGGAGAACATATAACGCAACCTCCGGCTAAAACAGGATCCCTACATTAAGTTACACCCCATCCCATCCCACTATTACTTCCACAGAGAGTTTGTACATCAGACCCCTGCTTGAAGCAGTGCTGGATCACGATAGCCACCGCTACAGATCTGAGGGTTAATTAATTAATGGTCATCATTATTTTTATTACTTCCCATCTCTGGGAGCACCTCAGGCTAATTTAAGCCCCCTCAAACTCCAACGGCAGACCCCATGATGAGTACACCTGCACCCCTCCTGCTGTGCAGCAGGCTGGGAGGAATCAATTAGAATAATACCCATCATCACTAATGACTGTTTACGGACAAGCACCTGACAAGCACTGCCAGCCCCACAGCAGCGAGCTACCCTCAGCTTGGGGGAAACGGGTAAATCCTTTGCATGAGAACACCAGCAAAGCCTGCTTGTTTCCCACAGCTTTGCTCAAACAAATCACAAACACATGAGGAGAAATAAAAAACAACCAACTAAGTGCAGACATCAGGAGCTAAAGCTCCAGGCAGTAAGGGAGACACCCACCTGCACTGCCCCCAATTACCGAGCTCTGCTGGTTCCCCCCCTCCTGTTTGGGGTTTCCCATTCGGATATGGGGTTTGCATGGGGAGGGGCATCACTGCACTGCCCCACATCCACCAGCACAGTACCCAGAGCTGCTCCTGATGCTCTGAAGGCATTAAGGTCCCCCCACACACGTGATAGCACAGCCGTGGGGACGCATAAGCGCAGGGCTGAGCGCTGCGGTGTCCATCTGCCACGGTTTTTCCAGATTAAGGGGAGGGTTGGAGGGGGGGAAGGAAAAAGAAAACAAACACACACCCTCCATGTTATCCCTTTCCTCCATGATGTTTTTCCCAGCCCCAACCCCAGAGGTGGCCGTGGCCACACTCTGTGCCCTGAGGAGGGACAGTGGCACTGGAAGCAGAACCCACCGGCACAAGGGGCTTTGCAGTCTAAGTCCTGCATCACCAAAACCACGGAATATCACATGAGAGCAACACATCAGGATCAGTGTGTGAGTCCCCACTGCAGCATCACCACCCTCTGATTTGCTCCGAATTCCATTTTGAACCCGGATCAAAGCTATTCGTGTCCAAATGAACTGAAAATCCAGTTTTTTTCCTGCCCTGTTTTTATGGCTGGTAGCACACTGGCCTGCTCTCAGCACGTGTGTAGTGCTGCTCGAGGCTCTGCCCGCAAAGCTCTGCCCAAAAGGAGCTCTGCAGCCACCTCCAAGCTGTGACAGTGGCAATATGGGGCCAGGGGCATGGAGCCCGAGTTGTGCCCTGCACCAGTGGGAAAAATAATCCACACTCCAGAAGGTGCTGCAGCGCAGAAAGGATGGAAAAATAAAGCAAAATAAAATAGAATAAAATGGAATAAAATGGAATGAAAAATCAAGGGCACTCAGGGGTTCCCAGCGACCCCCAGCACGGAGTCTCCCCATCCCCACAGACTTTCGGCTTTAACACCCGGAGGAGTAATTCCTGCTGGAAGCCACAAACCCGTTTGGAATCAATTCTTTCCTGAAAGAACCCTTTGAAAACGATTCTGTGTTGGTGGAAGCAGAAAAGGTTCCCCCAACCCTCCCCTAAGAAGTGGGAGCTGCAGTGGGGCTGTTCCCCCATCCGGAGCACTGGGACACGGGCTGTGCTGCGGTGCCCAGGCTGGGCTTCGGGTGTTCCACTACTGTCAACATTATCATCGTTGCTATTATTACTATTAATATCATGATTATTATCGCTGTCGCTATTTTACTATTATTTCCCATCTCCCCCCACCGGTGGGATGCTCAGCCCATCCTTAGGGGCAACACCAACAGCGCACCCCCCCGGTGCCCCTAAGCAGAGCTCCCTTTCCCTGCTGCAACCAAATGGCAACCCGCGTTCCCAAATACTCCTCCAGAATGAAAAAAAAAAACTTTCGTAACACATTATTTAACCACCGACACTCAGCACGGACACACACAAACCCATCCCGACGGCGCAATCACCGATTTTCAACTCGCAAACCACGAATTGAGGTATAATGAGGTGCGGATGCGACAGCGAGCACCCATCGCTATGGCTCGCCCCCGGAGCGCCGCTGCCTCCGAACCCACGGCATAAACCACGCAGGCACACGCGAAGCTCAGCCCGCAGCCGTCGTTTCACACGTCGGGTGGGGAAAACGTGGGTCGGAGCCGCGATGCCGCGCTGCCCCCGGCCGCGCCGCGCTTCGGGACACACGGCGCTCGCTCCGAGCTCGTTGGGAAACGCAGCGATGCGGCCCACCCGGGGCAGGAGAGGTGTATCTCGCGGGTGGAACGTGGGGAGAGTGACGGGGACACCCCCTCCTCGCGCCCGTGCTGCCGCCGTCCGACCCCCCCCACCGCTCCCTCCTCCCCGCGCGGCGCTTCGCGGAGCGAAAGTAAAAGCGGGCGCCGCTCCCGCGTGCCCCCCCCCACGCGTGTGCGCGTGTGTGCATATGCACGGCCCCGTGCCCCCTCTCCCCGCAGCTCCCCGCTCACCTGAGCTTTTTGGGCACGGAGTAATCCACCTCCAGCACTTTGCCGTGCAGCTCCGCTTTACCTGCGGGGAAAACGCGCTCAGCACCTCGCCACCCCCACCCCCCCCCTCCCCACTCCCCACTCCCCGGGCCGCCCTCCAGGCGAAGCCTTTCCCTGGGCGCCCCCCGCTGCGTATCCCCCATCCCCACTTCATCACCCCCACTCCGCAGAACGCGGCCCCACGGCGCTGCTCCCCCCCTCCTCCGCCCGCGGCCGCCGCGCCGCGCCGCCCCCCCCTGCCGCCCCTTCGGCCGCCTCCCGCTCCGCGCCCCCGGCGAGTTGGGGCAGCGCACCTCGTAAAATGGTGCTCGGGGCCGGGGGGGTGCCGGGGGGGCGGCCGGCTCCGGGCTCCGCCGTTCGGTCGCCCCTCAATAAAATCGGAGAAAAAAATCAGCGAAAAATTCGTAGGGGCCGGAGAAACCGGGAGGGGGGGAGCGGGAAGGAGAGGGGCGGCCCGGGGGGGGACCCGGAGCTCTAACGGGGAACGGGGGGCGCGGGGGGGGCCGCGCGGGGCCGCTCACCCGAGAGGGTCTCGATGGCGCGGATGGCCCAGTTCTGGTCCGGGTAATCCACGAAGGCGTAGCCGGACTTGAGCAGGACCTGGCCGGCCAGGGGCAGCTTCCTGTCGCCGAAGAGCTGCCGGAGGTCGTCGGCGGTGGCGGCGGGGCTGAGGTTACCGATGTAGAGCTTGTTCATCCTCCGGCGCTTCATGGGGAGCCCCGCGGCTCCTCCCGCCCCGGCGGCCGGAGATGAGCGTCGGGCACGGCACGGCGCTGCGCCACCCGCCCGGCCGAGCCCGCGGCAGCCCTGCAACAGCGCCCCGCCGCCGGGCAGCGGGCGGAGCCGCGCCGAGCCGAGCCGAGCCGAGCCCGGCCCGAGCCGCCTCCCCAGCAGCGCGCCGAACCCCCAACGCTGCCCCGCCGCCCCCCGGCCCACCGCCGCACGTGGAGCCGCGGCCCCCCCGGCGGGGATGGGCTGTGCTGTCCCCGCCTCGGGGAGGGAGCGGGCAGGGGGTGAGTGCGGGGATGGGGAGCGGGGGGAGATGGGGGGAAAGTGGGGAGGTGGGAGAGAGGGAAGAAAGTGGAAAGAAAGGGAGGGGGAAGAAAGAGGCGAAAGAGGGGAAAAAAAAGGAAGGGAAAAAAAAGGGGAAAATAGGAAAAGAAAAATTAGAAAGAAATAAAGGGAAAGGGACAACAAAAAGGAAAGGAGAAGGAAGAAAGGAAAGAAAAAGGTGAAAGCGAAGAGGGAAAAATAAAGAGGGGAGGAAAATAAATTGAAAAGGGAAAGAAAAACGGAAGAGGGACAGAAAAATGGGAAATGAGAAGGAGAAGAAAAGGGAAAAAAGTGGAAGAAAAGAAGAAGAGGAAAGAGAAAGGTGGAAAAAAGAACAGAACGAAAAATGATAAAAAGAAAGAAGGGAAAGACATTGAAAAGGGGGAAAGAAAGAAGGGGAAAGGGAAGGGAAAGAGAGGAAAAGGAAAGGGAAAAAAGTATAAAAAATGAGGAGAGGGAAAGGGAAAAGGGGTGGAAGAAGGAAAAGGGAAATTCAAAGTCAGAAGAAGGAAAGAAAAGGGAGATTAAAAAAGGGAAAGGGAAGGAAAAGAAGAAGAAAAAAAAAAAAGATGGAAAAGGAAAGGAAAAAGGAAAAAGCCTAATTGAAAAGGGAAGGGAACAGAAGTAAAGGAAAAGGGAGGGAAGAGGAAAAGGAAGGGGAAGGAAGGAAGGAAGGGAGATTGAAAAGAAAAAAAAAAGGAAAGGGGACAGAAAAAGGGATGGAAAAAATGAATCTAAAAGGAAAAAAGAAAATGAAAAGAAGGAAAAGAAAAAAAGGTAAATAACAAGGAAAAGTAAAGGGAAATTAAAGAAAAGTGAAGGTAAAACATAGAAGAAGAGGAAAAAAAGAATGATGAAAAAGGAAAAAATGAAAAAAATGGGAAAAAAAAAGAAAAACAAAAGAAATGAAAATGGGTAAAAGAGAAGGAATAGAAAACTAAAGAAATAAATGAAAGGGAGGAAATAAATAAAGGAAGGACACTCAAGGAAGCCCACAGTCAGTGTGCTGCTGTGGATACTGCTGCCAACGCACATCTCTGGCTGAGGGGCTCCAGGAGCCCAGCACGTCTCTGCTGGCAAAGCCCCCAGGCCGGCCACCCCTGCAACAAGCAATGCCTATCCCCAGCCTGATGCCATGGGCACCCCAAGGAACCAGGAGGTACTGCTGCCTTGTGTTCAGCGAGCTCCCGCTGCTTCTGTGACCACAAGGCCGTATCTCTATGAAAGTGGCTGTGAGCGGAGCCTAAATTAAGGCGGTTGAGCCCAGTCTGGCGGGAGGGAACAAGTGTCCTTGGAGGGCAGTGCTGTGCCTGCTGCCAGCTGTCCTCTGCCTGTGGCTGGCGAGCGGATTCCCTGGGTGTGCAGCAGGGCCAAGGAGAGCAAAGCCCCTTCCCTGCTCGTGGCCGTGTCATGCGGCGGTGCGATGGTAGGAATAGCGGTGACGGGTGCTTGATGCCATGCGTACAGCAAAAATAGATGTGGTCAGACTGCGATGATGCAAAGCCAGAAGAATCCTTTCTCCTCCGATTTCTTCTTCTTTGCTCCCGGCGCAGCTCCTGCCAGGCTCAGCATCGAGAGCAGCGTTTTGGGGGTGCTCACAGGGCTAGGAGGAGCCTCGTAGGGAGGGAGGGTGGTAGGAGCTGGTGCTTCTCATCCCATGGGCACGTGGCAGCTGCCGGCTTCATGCCTTCACTAAACTGAAAAATAGCGATGTTGTATGCCTATATTCAGCTCATCCTGCCCAAATACTTCACGCAGAGCTCCCACAAGAGCTCATCCCCCTGCCCAGATTTTGGGCTTTGCAGAAAGAGCTTGCTATCTTCTGATGCCTTCCCAGTGTTGTGATGGACCTTATGAGGAGGTGCAGGACCCAGGTTTTCTTCTAAGAGCAGTGCAGGTGGGGATGCAATAAGATTGTGCCTCTCTAAGAAGACGTAGGTTGCGTAACATGTCTGGGAGGCAGCAGAGAGGTAAAAAGGAGGGAAAAAAAAGGTGAAAGCAAAGGGAAGGTCGAAGGAGGGATTGTTTAGTCTGGAGGAGGAGAAGATAGCAGGCTTGTGTTGTGTGTGAAAGTGCTGCTTTGAAAAACCAGGGAAAATTCGGGGGAGAAGGGAGCTTGTGGTTGATCGGAATCAGGAGAGGAGGAGCTGGGGCCATTCCTTGGCTGGAGATGCTGGGAGTGGACAGACAAACATCTGCCAGAGGAGCAGGACCAAACAAAAGGCTTCAAATAGCCCCCAAATAACCCTTGCATCCCCCAAACCAACTCGGTTCCTTTGCACACTGACTTATTTTCTCTTTCTGATCAAGCAGCAGCAGCGACTCCATGTGCCACAATATGCTGCAGGGAGCTGCAACCTTCTCAAGAAGCCACAGAAGTACATCAGGTCTGGACGTGGTTTATTACAGGTATTTATCCCCAGAAAGAGCCCAAGACATATGTCAAGGACCCACAGGCTCAAGGTAGAGCAAATCCAGCACAACCACGGAGAGTCTGAGAAATACAGCATCAGTTTCACAGAATAAACTGTTGCTGGTCCTGCCAGAGCTCCTAACTAGGGATGGATTTTCAGGAACCGTGATTCGAACATCTCCTTTTCCCAAATCTCTGTGTATCCACTCCTAGTCGAATTACACAGTGTCAAGGATCAGAATGGTGATGGTAATACTGGCACTCTGCTGCAAAGGGAGCAGCCTGCAAACTCTCAGATCACATCAGTGAACTTCCCTGAAACCATCCTTTGGGCTTTTAGAAATCTCCTAGCAAGAAAATGAGCAGCTACTGTGGAAAGGGGGAGGGGGAAGAGCTGCAGTCACCAGCACCAAGTACTACAGCATCAAGAGAGTGTTATTAGTCCTGTTTTGAGAAGATAGTGAACAGTTTGGTTGGAAAATACATATAATACTTTTGCCCACAGTTTGCAAGGACATGAGTGAAGATTTACCAAGTTGCTTTCCTGGCTGTAACAAAACGACATGGAGAAATCCTAGAGGTGGATATGAGGGTCTTCAGGAATTACATCTTCTCCAGGGCTGAGCATGACCAAGACATAGCAGAGATTCAGTAGGGATGCACTAACAGTTCTTTCACAACAGGCCAAAGGGTTTCAGTGGCTGTCCTAACATGACCTTAAAGGTATGAGCATCTAGGACCAAATCTCTGAAACAAAAGCCATGTCCCAAAGATGCAGACACAGCACAGCCACACAGACCTCTAGTTTTTATGCTAGAGTTACTGGAACCAATATACGAATGGCAGAATTACCCAAAGCCAAAGTAGGGAGCTGTGATGTAACACCCCATGTGTGGAGGTGTGGCTTGAACAGCCAGGCCAACACAGGGCTCCCAGCCCCTCCTCACACCCAAGGGAGAACCAGGTATGTTGCAACCCCCCTTAGCACTGATACCCCTGTCACAATAGAAGGTTGTCTCTCTAAAGATCCCTTCCAACCGGAACCATACTGTGATTCTGCCTCATCTTCACAGGTTTACAAACATTACTGGTTTCCTTAGAACCCAAAAACCTGACAGCTCCTCACCCAGCCGACACCTTGGCACTGCAGCTCTTCCATCCACCCCCAGTGTAGACCTTGATCCACATAAATCACAGCTGCCTATCAGTTTTTCCTGTAACCTCCCCCTTGTTTTGTTTTCCACGCACTTAAGACTTTGTTTGCTGCAGTGTCTGCAGGAAAGGTCAATGCAGGGCGCTTTGCATCCACCAACAGATGTTGCTTTGATTGTGCTACAGCGGTGCGTCTCAATGTCACTAGCAGCATCTCCTGAGCAGGGCTTGAAGGCCTCTTCTCAGCAGACTGCACAGAGAAGAGTTTGCATTTTGCAGCCCCCACTATGGTAGAGGTCAGGGCTATTCCATGCAGCCTTTCCGTGCTGCATTTCCATCCTTTCCTGCAGTGTCTGGTGCACAAATGCATTGCCACCATCCAGCTTCTCCAGAAGTTCAGGATAGGCTTCTCCCTGCTTGATGAATTGGTGCCCAATGCTAGCAGAGCATGGGGACATCCCGCAGCGATTCAGGCATGTTTCAGAAGTGCATCGCATACCACAGCAATCTCTCACTCCTGCCCAACAGGGCAGCATTGCGCACGCGGGGGAGCATCTCACCAGGGGCTGTTTCTGGGCTTGAAAAGCAGCTCAAGTGATTCAGCAGCAGGAAAGACCCAGATAAGAGGCTCTTCTGATAGCAGGGCAGATGCATCTTGACCAGCTCTGGATGCAGTTGATCCTACTAGCATGGATTTAGGACTTCTGAGAACTACCAGGTGTTAAAGAGTGTGGGGTAGGAGTGGGAAGATGTCCTTCTGGCAGCAACAGGCCATCAGACAAATTCAGCTGCCAGGAAATACACTGTAGATAGTGAAATCCTCATTTTAAAATATGAAAAAGCTTACCATAGGACATACATTCCTAACTCTGCATTCGTCAAGCCCAGTTCCATGAGTCAAAGGATGTACAAGATAGTGACTAATAAAATGTGGTCCAAAGAACAAACAGCTTCCCTGCTCCGCAAAGCAGAAAGGTCACACCACGCAGCAACTCCATATTGAGGTGGAAAGCCCATTCTTGTGTCCATAACCACAGTCCTAGAGATTGCACTGATCAGGAACAATGCAGAGGGATTCAAGCTGCAATGGGTAAATGACTGCACGCCATCTTCCAGCACAGAACGCTGCTACAGGTTTGAATAGAGATGTAGGCTGGGTTGGGGAGATCATTACTAACTTACATTAAAAATAATCAGTGCTGAAAACTTGTTGACAATTCTTATAGATACAGTAAAAACTGAAATAAAAAATAGTATACCTCATAGCTGTAGGAACTTCCCTTTGTGAGATGTTCAGCACATTGGTGTCAGCATTCCTGACCTCTGCAAAGATGTCACAGGTAGGGCTCATTTCTTCAGGCCCTAGAATACCATCTCTCCCCTCACGCGGTGGCACAGAATGTGCTGAAATTTGCTTTAGAGAGCAAAAGGGAAAAGCAAGTAAGATGGTATGTGCCCAGTCTTCTAAAAATCTAACAGATTAAGGACAAACCAATGTCCCTAAAAAGAAATGGGGTGTAGCTCAGATGCTGCATAGCTATGTAACCACTTGCTAAATTAAAGCATTTGGAGAGGGGAATGGAAGCAAGCTCACACCAATGTCTTACCACTTAAATCCCAACATGTGATGGCCTTGGTGGCACTCTCTACTGCTGACAGTCAGCACAGTACATCATACAACCATGATTTGTATTCTCAAAGTAAGAATGCACTAACAAGTTCCCAATCATCGATCCTTTCCCTCTGGTGCAACCTCATGGAAGACACTCTACAGAAACCTCTGACTTACTAGCACTAAATTGCACTTACTCCAGGCCTACTGCAAGATACAGGTCACCTATGCTACTGGGCTGGGGGCTGCTCTAGTTAGACATAGTTCCACATTGTTCCCAAATCTTGCAAGTAATTTCCCTCTAAGTGTATGATATTCATGAATCCAAGTAGGCAAAAATGGCACTTCTGACTGTTTTGAGTAGAAAGTGTAAAGGAAAGCATTATTTGAGTCATACTGCCTGCATCATTTTACCCACATATGCAGGTAAAGATGTACTTTCAAAAAAAGTGAAATCAACACACACTGTGTTACTACATTGCCTTTCGTAAGCATGTGGATATTTATTTCCCAGGAAACCCTCTCCCCCTTTTGAGCTCTCCTTAAAGGATTACATCTTACGTGGGATAAAGCATCTGCTAACAGCTCACCCCCCCTCAACCAAAGCTCAGCAGCATTACCGTGAGTTTCTAAGATGTGCTGCTCCATGTGTACACCATCACTGAGTGCTGTTCCTTCCTCCTGCTACTGTGCACGTTACATATGGACTTCTCTACGCACTGGATTTATATACCTGAAGGTATTACAATTAGAAAACAATTACCCAACAACACAATCTTAGTGTGAACTTTACTTATGAACCTTGTGTCATAGGTTATGGAATATTGTGTACATGTGGGAGCCCCTTTTCAACCCGTAACTTATACTTGTCAAAAGCACGGAAAAAAAAAATCAAACTTTTTTATTTTATTTTTCACTTTTTGAAAGCACTTTACACAGGTTTTGATCTTCAGAATACCTTGGAATCAGTAGAAAAAAACTAACTGAACAGTTTGTTTTTACAATAGAAACCTTTCAGGAGTCAAAATTGAGACTAAAAAAATACATGCAAAACATACTCCTTTCAAAACACAACTTGGAACAAAGCACCAAACTACACAAATATGCAGAATGAAACAGCATCACAGAAGTATTCTTCATAAAAGGTGTAAAAGTCACCTATTCACTAGGCACTGTTCACTTGTTTAAACAGAAGAGACAATAAAAATATTGTCCACAAACTTGCAATTTCAACTCAAAGGCTGTAGCTAGAAATTCCTCTACATGTCATGCTTTAATAGCGACCTGAAAGAAAAAAAATACACAGAATTAGACTTCCAAACACTAGCAGATCTTCAAAGTTCTGATTTCACTTGCACACCTCAAGTCTGCATCGAGTTTCCTAAGTGCCCAATGATCTGTTAAAGCTTAACATCAACACTATTCTGTCAGTAAGTTCCAATCATGTCAGACAGACACAGGGCTGACATTTCAGCACACATCAGGTACGTGCACTGTAACTGGGGCTGAAGCCAGTTTCCCTGTCTATCAGTAAAAGCACAGTTCCACCTGTCTTCCTTTGGACACAAACGGTAAATATGAGAACACTGAGAACACAGCACATTCATTCTAAGTGTATCCATTACAAGGGGAATATGCTAGGAATGCTATTGCATCTTATTAACTTTCTGCCAAAATACAGCTTTATCTGTCATGCAAATAAGCTGTTTTGACAAAAGCACCATTTAAATCCTGGATTAAATTAGCCTCCTCTTTTCCATGTTGTGTCAGGAAATTTAGTCCCAGTATCAAAACCTGTGAGTTCAGCTTTGCTGTTCTACACTTAACCAAACCCTCAACATGCTATAAACTGCTGTCCAATCTGAGTTCCCAAGAAAGAAGTGCTACCAAGAAAGAAAAAAAAAAAGCAGTATTACCTAGTTTATTTTGTTGCAAACTAAATATTTGCTCTACCCTCAAGGTTGCCACTTGCTCAATGTAACTTTAAAGGGAACTGTGATTCATAATAACATAAATACAGCCACACTGAAGTCATTAGGGATGGGAAAGCACAAAGGAAGTTCAGGCGAAGTGGAAATCAGCTTTTAACACGAGAACTCTAATATCACTTACGAGGTGAATAGGATCGAGATCTGGATCGAGATCTGTAGCCCCCTCGGCTGTAATATGGGGACGGTGATCTCCTCCTGCAAAACAAGGCAACAGAAACAATCCCCGTGGGTGATGAGTGGCAGCAGCTCTATGTAGATACCGTTACCTCAATCAATAGTGTACTCAGGAAAGCTAACAAGAGTACCAAGACCTGATCAATGTTTCTACCGGAGAACAAAGCAAACCTTTAATAAAACTCAAATAGTCTTTTTATGAATAAAGGGCCAGATTGATATTACAATGGACTAATGAAGGCAATAAGCTCTACTACATGCACATTCGCATTTCACATGTATGAGTTTTCTGTTTCAAGCCAAAAGCATCTCAAACACCCAGCAAAAGCCCGATCACACTTTAACTCTGAATTTGAAACACTTGTCTGGATGAAGAATCAATCTGAACAGCAGCCACTTCTGCCATCAAATCCCACCCTCAAAATTCTGGGATACCTTTTCAATCCAACCACAAGTTTTTCAGTTCCTTACCTAGTTTCTCTAACCCCTTTAATAGTCATTCACAAAAACTATTCAGGACATTAACTTCTTGGCACAGATCACAAGTTTTTCTTGTGTAAAGCTGCACTAACCTGCCTCCATACTAACCTCACCCCTTCACATAATGAGGAAGCCTTTGAAATAAATTCCACTGCTCATCCAAGATTCTCAAGCATTCAGCAGTTGCCCAGTTGCTCTTACTGCATTTGAAGATATCCTCAAACTTGATTCAAACATCCCAGAGATGTCATGTAGAAGAGTGTTTCTTTTTTTTTTTTAAGCAGACACCAAAAGCTTTCCTGGCATACCTGTAAAACTGATCTCTGTCTTGAACAGCTCTCCATCCTCCTCCTCCTCCTCCACCTCCTCCTCTGTGAAGACAGAAGCAGAACAGTTTTGAAAATTTAAGAAAGAAGCTCACCATACAAGTAAAAAACATGCTCAAGCATATGATAAAGTGAAGACGAGAAAACATTTGGTAGCTTAACTAGATAAACACTTTGTTACTTCCCTACTGCCTTCATCTCTGATTCCCAGATGTTAGCTGAATACAGTGGCAAGGTGCAGCTGAAGAGGTCTTGCACGCAGCCAGCCAATATTGTGTTTTACATCATACTCTTCAACATGCAGTGATTTCAGAGCAGTATGAAGCCTCTGCTTTTAAGGGTATTTCTATTCTCAGATGCTTATCCATTCAAAGCATGCAATTTTATTTATTTTTTAAGCAGTGAGACCAGATTGCTGTCCTAAGGAAAGATGACTAAGGTGATACCACAGCTGAGGTAGACACCCTAAACACTTCATCATGCTTAAACAAAGGCATCTTCAGAACAATGGTACAACTTCTTATACAGAAGTCACCTAGAACTGAAGCAATAGATAATACTTAAACAATATTCAGTGGCTGATCTGCTACTTCCACGGATTTAGATATAGCAAAGCACTATTGAATCATGTTTGGATTATGATACAGGTGTGACTATCACAGATCTCTCACAGCTCAAAAAGGCAGTAATCATAAGACAGTCAAAAAAATCCACTACATTTTTAACCAACAGGTCTCCTATTTCACTTCCCCCTCACCCCCCAAAGAAAAGTCTTCTCCATTTGTTAGATTAGGCAGTATGCATATTTTGCATCCCTATTTTGCAGGCTGAATATTCCACAGCAACATGAGAAAAATGTTAGTATGACAACTCCATCCTGCATTGTATTTCCCTTCAGGTTTCACTGCACAGAAAGCAAATAAGGAAGAAAATGCAAAGTAATTATTACTCACTGACTTTCTAGGGTCAAGTACTAGTGTGTAACACTGGCAACTCAGAATTTAGAATTTATATATCCCATTTCCCTTATTCAAGGAAGAACCAACATCATACACAACACTATTCTGTTCTCCTTCAAACAAGCAATACCTGCAGGATAATTACTAAGTATAACTAGTAAAGACCATGGTATTTGTAAAGCAGACGTGTGCAGACACCTGTGGCTTACTTTCAATCTTTTTGTATCTGCTTTACCTGCTATTTTTCCGTATCTGCTATATCAGTATCTGAGAAGACATTAGAAAGGTTCTGCAGTGAGCTTCACAAAGATTTGTTATTTTAGGGAATGGAAATCATTCTTGCTGGAACTGTCAATACTCTTAGTATTTCCACCCCAAAGCCCTAAATATCACATGACAGACACAGAATGGGAGAGCACACAGGAAGGTCAGAACATCGCCGGGAGCACAACTGCCTGCAAGAGCTGAACCGAAACATGGCTCTGAATTCTGCTAACACTAAAACCAGCACACTAACTGAAGCAGTTCACTTCTTGCTGGCCTGCTTTTTCTCCTCTAACTTACGTATTCTTCTCTGTACACAGTCAATATCAGTCTCTGCATCTATTCTCAGTAACATGCACTTGGAAGTGAAAAAATTCAAACTTCTGATAATGTTTTACTTAAGATCTGAGCCACAGTTCACCATCAAGAACAACAAAAAGTAAAGACATGTCATACCATAATCTAAAATGAGGAGTAATAAACAACTTAAAAGCAAAAAAGGATAGCCAGAAAATCTTGATAAACCCTTTGTAAAAGAAGATCTGTACCAAAAAAAAAGAAAAATTGACAATATAAAACTTATCAAACATTCCATAGCCCTATGTTTTTTTGCTGGTCTCTGTATGCTTTTGCCATTTTTATAAGTTTATCACGATCCCTCCCAGGAGGGAAGAATAAAGAAAATGGTTGGGGAACAGAGAAGTCTGTTTCTCCACTTCTGGGAGCTGCTTCAGTTGTTTTGCCTGCTAGCTTTCACTTCATTATCTTCAGGACATTAAGCAAGACGAGGATAATTGTCAATATTCTGAGCAAGCTTTTGTACCTTGTGCAGAAAGCTTGGTCAAAGAGCTACTTTTGGATCTCATCTACTTCATGTGGAAGCCTATGTACAATTGCTGGCAAGATGAAAACCAATACATCTTGTCCTTGTAGCAGCTTAACCCTGATAAGGGGCATGCATTTCTCCAAGATGTTCAAAGCCACTGACGTAGCACGGAAATGGATTGTAAGAGGCAGAAAATACTCTTTCCCAGAACTATGAGAAAAGCACTTGTGTCTCCAGCATTCGTTGTCATGATGCAGAGGCACCTTGATCCTCCCCCGTCCCCTGCAGTGCTGAAGCACAACTAGGCAAGGAAGAAAGAAACAGACCAAATCCACAATGACAGGCTGGGAAAAACAAGTGTTTGTGAGCAGTAGGAGAGGAAAGGGGAGACAGTTGTCCTCAGTGACACACAAATGTCCTCAGGACCATACAAATGTAAACACAGAACATTTTCTTCTACATCCAGAAGAGCACACTGCAAGCTCAGATTGCAGGATTTAGATTGTTCATTGTCTGTGAGCTATAAGAGAACATAATTCAAACTCATGCTTCTCCAAACATTGTCATCAAGCAACCGTCATAGATGTACCCAGTGCTGATGCATTAAAGCACAGCAAACAACTCAGAACGGCTCTATGATTCTGCAAGCAAAGGTACATTGGGCAATTAGATAAAAAAAATGAAGTGTGTCATCTTTGTGTCCAATTTAACGTGTTTGAGTCAAATTCTGGGAATTTCACATGACACAACTCCTCCGGGCAGTCATAATAGAGAACACAGAATATAAAGCTAGCTATGTCACCAAAACCAATTAAGTGCCAACCAAGTTTTCAACAGATTTTCTATCAACTTTACTAGCCCCCAACAATCTACGTTGCCATCTGGATATTCAGCACTTTCAGGGAAGCTAACCACTGTACTATTGAAAACTTAAGACTGCAGACAGAATTAAGAAGCACAGGTGCCTGCAGTAGAACATCTTCATCCGAGCTGATAAGAGTATGCTAAAAAAGCCTTGCCAAACTTCCAGTACAGAACAAGTAATCCTCTAAGATCTGATTCTTTGCTTTGGCAACATTTGAGATGCCATAATGGAGCATCCTACCTGTTGTCTATTACATTCAAAAACTGATTTAATTTGGCATTAAAATGCAAACTCAAATATCAGATCAGCATCTGTATTCCCATCATTTTAATGCTGGGAGAGGAACAAAACAGATTTTTTTTTAAAAAAAATATGAGTACAGAGAATGCTACTTTGTTTTTCATAAATTAAAAAAAGCAATACAGAATAAACCACGCTCAAGTTAAACAGCACAAAGTATTTCTCATATCTGAACAACCTCATTTGTACTGACCAGCCATTTTTGTAGAGGTATACCAAGAATCCACAATTAGAATGAGCACAGAAATATTGTGGCACACACTTTAGAATGAAGTTGAAGTAGTTCAGCACTACAAACGTTGCCTCACCTGTATGATCTGCTGTAATAGTCACGATCATCGTACCCTCTATCATATCCTCTGTCATAGTAATCCCGTCGCCGTGAGCTGCCACTACAAGTAACAAGAGAATTTCATTTAATAGTGATTCAATGAATACTGTCTGCAATGCAGTCAGTCAAGCATATGCCATTTTAACTGATTTAAGTTACTGGCTCCCATTCTCACAGTTAAAGTGGTGGTATGAGTGTTTCCCAGATGGAAACAGAACTACTTAACACTGTTTAAAATGCTTGATCTTTAAAGCAGCTACTTTCCTCTTTGTTCTGAAACCTCTTAACATTTTAAGGCAGGTACACAAGGAACTCTATTGTGCCTGTACCAACTCCTCATTCACTTTTAACTCCCAGAAAGCCTTTGGAAGAATTTCTCTATTAAAAAAATAAACTTAGAGCCTCAATACAACACCAATAAACAGCCAACAGCACACTAAGCTGAAAATCTTGGGAAAACAACTGAAAAATGACTTGGGAAAACAACTCACATTCTTGGTAACTTTGTCAAATGTTTACACTATGGATAGGGCAAACTGCAAAGCTGCACAGTAGTATTTGTTGAGGGACACTTGAAAACTAGAGCTTGCAAAGCCACTGGTGTTTGAGAGCACACAGGGGAACATCCACTAATCAGAAACAACTTGAAGTAATTTAGAAATTCTCCAAAATTCTTACTGCAGACTTAAATGTGTAGACAGCTTATGTTTGGACTACATAACTAATGGACACAAGTTTCTGCTTACTGTAATCTAGACTGACCTCAGATCAGCCACTGACAAATTGTTTTGTTGCCTTTTTTTTTTTTTTTAAATACAGGACACAATGTATCCTGACCCTTACACTTCCAGGGGAAAAAAAGCCACAGTAGTAACTTACTAAGTGGGTCTTCCCATGTAGATTCCAGGGGTAGGTGTGTGAGGTCTTTTTGTTATGGAAAAGTCTACCCGGATTCTCCTTCCATCCAACTCCATTCCATTGGCACGTTCCTTAGCCTAAGCACAGATAAAATACAGTTAGCTGGAGGTATGAACTTCACTACCTACACAAATTCCTAACCTAATATTTTCTTGGAATATTAAGAAAAGCCCTAAAAGATCTCAGCTAAGGCAGTTCTAAATTTCACTTATGCCTCATATTTTATCTCTGAACCTAAAATCTAAGGCATCCTAGGCTATCTGGGTATAAGCTTCAGTAATTATTTAAACATGACTTATATTGTGTGAAATATCCGTGAGGAACATAATTTACCAGTTGTTTCACTGTTTCTGATATGATTAAGAAGAGCCTTTGAAAATGCTTCTAGGAGGAATCTTAGCTGCTCCAACACAGAACTTCAAACATAGAAGCCCCCCTACCGCTCCAAAAGACATTCTCAAACCCTACCCTAACCTTGAATATAATAATAATTGAGTCATAAGCAAATATTAAGCAAAACATCTGAAATAGTTTTTCTTTTTCCTGCCATGTAGGACAGCTAACATTCAAAGCTTCAGTTTACCATGGAAGTCTTATGCCAAATTTAAGGGGGGAAAGAAAAAGCTACTCAGATGGTACAAAGCAGAATTTATGCAGAAGATGAGTCTATTCACAGCACTAATCAGGGCTGGCCTGAGTGCAGAATTACACACTTAGCAAGCTCCTCTCCCTGGTCATTCTGTAGCAATTGTAAGCATATATTCTGTAGTTTGATGCCCAGTAGGGACATCATTTCAATATAACACCTGTCTGGCCTTTTGCTGTTAGATGAAATTTTCTCCCCCCTTTACAATTGAAGCACTAGAATCAAGCAAATGCATGTTGATGCTTCCATAGGGCACCTGAGCATACGAGAACACTGAAATACCAGTCTAGGGTACTCTTAACATTAATATTAAACAGAAGATCACATGTGGAGTTTGGAAAGAACACGCCTAATTAATAGAAAAGAGAGCACATGTGTTTCTATTTTTCCTTTTCTTGTTGGCACAGTTCACACTACAGTAGGTTGGTGTTTGCTTTTGTGAATTACACAAGTCAATCCACACAGAGACCAGAATCATACCTTTCCACTATTTCCTCTAATACAAAGAATGTCTCTTTTGAACAAAGACTGACATTTTATCACGAAGTCTGAAGTACATTTTAGGCTCTGAGAATGCAGGGAAGATATCGTTGCACTAGCTTGCAACGTATGCTTATTTCATCTAGTGAAAGAATTAACACAAGAGGTTACTGTGTCACATTTAAAGGTCAAGCAGTGAGTTCCCTAGGCTACATCCTGGTATAAAACATACATTCCAGCAACCAAAAACACAGCAAACATCCCACACAGTCCATGCCACAGCAACTTACTTCCTTAGCATCCTCAACATTTTCGAAGTACACAAATGCAAATCCCCTTGAACGTCGAGACTGCTGATCGTACACAATGGAAACATCAGCAATTGGACCATACTTGGAGAAAACTTCCCTCAGATCTCGTTCTGTGGTGTACAAGCTCAACCCAAACACACCAAGACAACAATTTGGATCAGGATTTGCCTAAAGGAAGAGAGAGGTATCAGAATAAAAACCTGTGTTTGCTACACCAGCTATTGCACAAGTTTGAATTTGTCAAAGCTTCAACAAAAACACACTACTGAGACCAAAGCTGGGTTAATTTGAAATAAACACTTCCACTCTAATCAATCCTACAGACTTAAATCTTTCTCTCATAGAAATACTTTGTATTACTGAAAGCCCTGTACCAACCATAGAGGCAGCACAGAAAAAAAAAATACTGTCTTCGCTCCAGAGACATGCTGGTGACTGCTGAATGTGGATACAGAGAGGCCTGAATAACATTATACATTTTAGCTACTGCTTCCTCCCCAGCTTTAGCATGAATCCTACTGCTCTCAGGCACCTGAAACTCAATAGCTAGAAAAAAGCTGCTCTACAAGCTCTTACTTAATGAACCACTAAGACAGCTTTAAATTAAATGTTTTAATTTTCCAGACTTCCTAGATCTAGGGAAGACAAGTGCCTCTCCCTCCTAATCTTACCTCTGCCCTCACTGCATACATCTGCTTGTTTACTACAGCAGGCATACCAACATCAGCCTGCACTGGTAGCACTTGTCTTTCAAACACACCTAAGCAGGATGCATTTTCATGGCAAAGAAGGATGAACAAATGTACTGATTTGAAGATATGCTGAAAACTGTGCAGTAGTGATCTACTTGTAGAGCACACGTACCCTGTTCCCAATGTGGCGCCTGCGAGTAGACATGGGGGAATGGCTGTGGCTGTGTCGCCGCCGGTAATCCCGACTGTACGACCTACTTCTGGATCTCCTGTGAGAGCGGGAACGAGAACGTGACCTGGTGTAGTGCCTGCGGGAACTCCTCCGTGATCTAGATCTGAGGAAAAAAGAGGGACAGTGTTTTTCTTCCAGAACCTTTCAGAAGTACCTCAGATATTCATAAGCAAAAGTCTAAACAAATATATTTTAAGAACCTGTGGTGGCACATAATTAAGCTACAATCAATTCAGTTACTAATCTCAAGGACCGACTTCTCAGTCTTAACATATTACTGCAAAACAGGGGCTTCAACATTTTGGTTGGCTTTCAATTCCTCAAAAAGCTTCAAACTTGCTTTGCCAGAACATTCACAGCACTTACAGCAGTACTTAAGGAAAAATAAAATAGTTGAGAATTCTGTCCAGAAGATTTATTAGAAAGAGGGAACAGGAATTAACAGCAAACGTCACTGTCACATGCACAACTGGACAGGTGCACACTTCCATTCACTCTAGCACTCAGAATAGCACTAACTTCAATGACACAGATAGACAAATATTTCTCTTTAAGAGTTCATAATGACAAACAAAGGAATCTGCAACACGCCCCCAAAACAGAGTTTAACAGGATTGAAGTAGTTAAGTGATAGTACACTTATTTACCTTTTACTGTTTTAATAGTTATTTAACATTAGCTGTTCATACATGTTTACATGTTCACCTTTCAAGTGTATTTAGGCAGAGGTGCAACTGATCACTAATTTCAGCCTGCTTCTACTTGGAAGTATTTACTGACAGCACCAGCTCCGTGATGCCAATAAACACTCCAATTCCTTCAATTAAGCCCTCAGCTCTCCCAGTGCAGACAGCCCTTCCTGAAAAGCTAGGCAGGCGCTGGACCAGCTACAGCCAAAGCGTGGTGTGCTGTCTGCAGTCACTGAATGATCTGCATTCCATGCAGCTACAAAGAAAATGGCTGCAAGACTAAGAAGTGCACTGAACAGTTTAATATCCAAAGGCCCTTAGCCATAAGTTACTCATCTTCATGCTCTTATTTGTGCCGTGAACACCCTTCTCCTTTTGTGGAAACTGACTGAGCCTAGAAGCCCCTGCTGCAGAACTAGGTTTCACACAGTAGCCCAACCACTGCCCTAGGACAGATGATGCTCTTGATCCAAGCCAGTTTTTCACCCCCCTCCTGAGCATTTAACAGCTTCATCCACTATCAAGTTTTGTCACTAGTTAAACATCTCTGTCTTTGACCTGTTCAGAAGTGAGCCCAGCAAGTCTTGCCTTCCCCAGCTTGAAGAATACATACACATCCAGAAGAAATGACTTCAGCACATCCCATTACAACACTTAGATATGCACAGAGAACAAGTAATTGGGAAGGTGGGTGGAGTATAAGAACAAAAGACTAAAAGAAACAGAAGAGGGAACTTTCCGGAGACAGGGAAGATCGCATAAAAAGACAATGAAATAATAAAACGAGAAACTCAGCATGTGCACAAAGCTACATCTCAGCCTCTGGTACAGGAAGCCTGAAGACAAACACAGAATTGATGTTCCACATTCCAGAATGCACCCACTACAATGAACAAAAACTAGACCCTTCTTAAGCTAGATAAACCACTGAGAGAACAAGGCTTATTTTAAATAGGCACTGGTCATATTGCTGTCTTAAATGCTAAACATTACTGCCATTTTTCTCCTCTGCTGCAAAACAGCTGAAAGCCATATTCCTTCATCAAGGATTCTTAGGCATTACAAAGAACCAGTCAAAGACAACAAGCCTGTGCAGAATATCTGTTGTTTCGCTGATGAAAACTTCAAGACAGACAGCTTTGGATTTTTCAAATCAAAAGTGTCCACAGCCCAAATGACAAATATGCAAATACACAGATTTGATCCTAAGAGAAGTTCACATTTATAAAGCTAGTGGCTCGACAATATATTTGCAACAGAAACAACCACACACTATGAAAGACTTCACAATGCTATCTCTGGTGAGAGCCAGAGCTCATGACCACATCCAAACATGTGATGGCACTTCAAGATTTGAGGATACTGGTTCTGCATACAATTCACTATTCTGCTAACGAACCATCTCTTAAGCTTGCAAGATCCTTCTGTTATTTCCAGTTATTTTCAGAACAGCTGTTAAATGCTCAGGAAGCTGTGGCAGTCATAAGCATCTACTGTTGTTCATCAAAAAGAAGTCAAATGCCACGGTACAATTTGAAAGGTTCCTTGCAAATGGAAATATTTGCACGGTTACTTTAAAAACTGTATAACAGCAGCAAGACTTGGAAGGCCTAGTTCTTGTGTTTGCCTCTAGCAGCATTTCAAACTATGTGAGGCTGCATTCCTACATGGCATTGAGGTTATTCTGCAAGCAAAAAGCAGTGCTTCAAAGACTATGGAAGCCCAAGGGGTTACTTCGGTGCAAAAGAACGTGCTGGGCTGGGTCTTGACTTGCTAGACACCCTAAAAGGTTCCTCGAGGAACACATGTGGTTTCTACCCACAAAGCCTTTAAAATCCCACCAGTATACAGTTCCAAGAACACCACCTGAACCCAGAGTAGTCTGTCTCAAATAGAAGTTCAGACAGGACCTCTCCTGAACCATCCTACAATCCCATCACTACTAGCAACACTAAGTATTTATTCCTTCAACTTCACATTTCTGCTCTTGCACTACAGGTTAATGTATGATTTGACAATTGTGTCTGACTGAAATATACAGTAAAAACAATCTCATTCCTCTGCTGCCAGAATTCTTGAGAAGGTATTTACCTTGCCACTAAAGTTTTTCAGACTGCTCACTCTGGCCTTACAATCCAGCCTAAGCACAGTATACAACATCATTTTCCATTAGGGGTGACTGCATGATGTCTTCCAGAAATGTTATCCCTCCCACACCCTGACCCTGAGGCTCTGGTAAACCTAATTCAGAGCTTACACACAAAAACATATTGTGAACAGCTCAGCTGGAAACGCTACCACTGAAACCCAAGCTTTTGTTTGTTTCTCCTCTGAATGCTTACAAATGACTAAAGGTACCATCAATACATTCATCCCGCACTTGGCACTGAATTCTCTAGACTCTTCAGAAAATGATGTCATTCATCCTTCTGCAGGCTTTGTTGCCTCTTCATTGCTTTTTAATTAAGTACCCTTTGCACAACACCCATGGTAAGCCCAATGCCAAGTGGGTAGTCCTGACGTTTACTGCCTTATTTTTAGACTATGGGCATATTTTGTGTCTCAGTAAGAAGTCTGTTAGTGGTTTCAAGAGGAACGCTGTCACTGCCTGCAGCCTGTTTAGCAGATAAGTCAAAGGATTGGTAACACAGCCCTTTGAGCATTTTCATGTGTTCAATTCTAGAACAAATAACAAAGTTACTTTCTCCACAACTTTTCTGGAAGCTTAGGAAGCTGCCCAAACTTTAGAGCTCTTCAGACAATTAATTTCAAATTCAATTAATACATGTTTAAATGCTAAGATAGGTGTCCGTTCTGTTTTTTATTATACTTATCTGCTTCTCTCACAGAACACATCAGCAATTATTCTAAAACATCAGTGCTTCCAGTGAAGAAAAGGACAGTGTCACCTAAAACACTGGTGACATGCCAATTTCTTTCAGTGCAGAGGAAAAATAAAACAACCCAGAGCTCCTAGAGCTTCAGGTTCAGAAGCCAGCCATTACTCCAAGATAAACTTCAGAGGCAAGCCAACTACAAACCAGATCAGCAGAGATACACGCCTACAAAGAAGAATGCCTCTCAAAAAGGGCTGCAACAAGATCTAACTTGATCATTCAGCTTTCCAAATTCTGAAACCACACATGCCCCTTTGCATATGCACAGATCACCAATGACCTCTGGTAACAGAACTGGGCCGTAGTGCACTTCAGTTCACCTCTGACATAATAATCCAAAGACATCTGACTCGCCAAGAGGAAGAGGTAAAAAGGAACTCACCTGGATTCAGACCTGGATCTAGATTTTGACCTGGAACGCCTTGAATCCTCCTTAGATCGAGATCTTGCAGGGGTGTGTCTCCCCGACTTGCCAGACCCATGAGCACTTCCGCTTCTGGAAGCAGAACGGGATTCCTGCACGCAGATATTGAAAGCCTAATTTGTATACAATTTCTGGTTTACCTACGGTCTGTAAACAAGCTCCAGTGAAATAAATGGTAAAAATTCATATCTATGTGTCCGGGCAGTTGGCATTAGAACTGCCTAGATTTTTAAGAAGTTCTTCCCTGGTAGACACTTCTTTACCCTGCATATACTTTTGCTATTAAACAGATAATGCATGCATGTTTAGCAAAATATACAGGGACACATAAACAGACTAGTAATTACTTAGCGTAGTGCTTTCAGATTCCAGATTACTTCTTATCTTAACTTCATTTTTATTCCTTTTCTTCATTCTTCCGTTTCAAATTCTGACTTCTTTCATCTTCCCCACTTCACACAAATTGCTCAATATTCTACAAGTGGGACTTCTGGTCTGATAATTAGCATGCATTCACTTTCTTTTTTTTCAAATTTCAGCTTCACTTATTCCTGAGCTTCAAATAATTCTCATTTATAAAACTTGTCAAATGGCGACTTCCGCATTTTCCTTCTTCAACATTAACCTTAATAGAAAAAGAACAGGATGAAGAATATTTAAAAACTCCAGGATAAAATCTAGTGCCAAAACTGAAACTAGAAAAAAAAATGTTCTGGACTTTTACTACATATGCAGAATCGTATCTACCACTTCCCTATTATTTTATAGACAGATTCAGTTTAAGCTTAGTGCTACGTAACTAAATTCACTATTTATGCCTATATTTAACAGCAAATGCACAACAGATCAACTAACGACCTACTGATCAATGCCAGCATGAGGAAACTCGCATACTTGGTACTTTATGAACCACATACTTAAAGAAGTGCCTGAAGTCAAGTTAAGTCCCTGCTGCAGCCAGAGATGCCTCAAAGTAGAAGAATGAAGAAAGCAGCGCGGTTCCTCTTTCAGCCACTTCCTTCCACAACCTCGTTGCTTTCTGGGATGTGCTTACAGACCAGCAAGCCTGCTGGGAGTGCTCCCCAGCACACTGTGCCCGCTCTGCCTGCACCAGCCTGGTTACACGTGCAGGACTCACACCTCCAAATGGGAGTTTTCCAGAGTGAAAACAGACTTCTGTGCAAAACACTCACATGCTGCCCTGGAAGAATATCCCATCTGCTCTATTATTTACTTGCACTCTGCTTTGGTAAAGACCTAACCTAATTAGGGCTTTCAGACATGATACTTCTTTCTATATCATCAGACAGGATTTGTTCCAAAACATTCGATCTATCTCTAACATCTCTTAAATCTCAACATTCAACCTAGAGGGCATTGTGTACCATTCAGAAAATCATTTGCTAAACCAACTTTAATTGCACTTAAGCTGCTTCCATGTGACTTACAACAGAGATTTGCTATTTACAATTGCCTACTGTAAAATAACAACAGTTGAGAGAAAAGGAACTTGCAGTGTGAAGCAGATTTTTAATTAATTAATACTAAGAGCAATAGAAAGAAAGCAAAGTTAGTCAAAGCCACGTTCTTCTTTGCCAAAACAATCAAGGTGTTTTAAGCCATTGCCACCATAATTAGCAAATCTGCGAAGGGCAGTGGAAATACTGAGACCTGAATTACAAAGAAGTTTACACTAAACCTGCTATTTCCTTCAAAAGAAAAAGCCCACGTAGATGAGCCCACGTAAGCCAATGTAAAAAGAGTCGGAAAAAGATTTTAAGAAAGGATTACACAAAAAAACAACTAAGACTGTTGTTCCTTTGAGGGAATCTACTTCTACTTGCTGAACATAACCCTCTTGACAGACTTCAGCTAGGCAGAAGGAGCAATGCACAAAGACAGAAGGGCTCAGAGTGACAGGACAAGAAATGTACACTGCTGTGGGAGGGAGGCAACAAGGAGCACCACACACAGCAGCACTCCCCACACCCTTCTCAGGATTTTTGGAAGTCATTAAGCTTTGAAGAAATACAGAAGGAAAGCGTTATTAGCATAAGCAAATGGCTGATGTCTTCATCTGCAAGCCCCAAACATTATGCCCCATTATGTGACCCGCTGAAGGTCCACATAAGCTTGTCCCATTGTTCACTGATATTGGGATGTCCACTACTTTGTTTTAGTCTTAACACAGTGCCTTCTTTTCCTTTTTGCTCCTTTGTGAATTTCAAGCTTAAAAAAAAAAAAGAAAGATGCATCAGGCTCACATCATGGGGAAAAAGAAAAACTGTTGCTCCTGCTATATCCAAGTACTTCTGGTAAGCAAATCAAAGCTTGCACTCCCTACTGAAAAGCTACTGTTTCTAATCTTGAAAAACTGAAGCACAAAGTTACCACAGGAAGAAGCAGCTACAAGGTATGCACGATAACTGTGCTAGATCTCTACTTCCCAATCCAGTTTTTCCTCACTCAGAACTGTAGATTTGTTTCACAACTTAAATAGTCAGTATTACTGGTACTATTTATACTAAAGCCTTACCAACTCAGCTGTTTCTACTCGCTTTCCTGAAGGAATGTATACAACCTACCACTGTGCATTACCAAATCTGACTGCAGACTGATCCAAGGTGTCAGGGTGCCAGTTTCACACATGCTCAGCCATGCTACTCCTGAATTTAGCAATGGATCCAACAGCAAAACAAACAAACAAACAAAAAAAACCCACAAAAAAAGCTTCTGCTTGTCCTCCTGAAGCACAGGATCACCTGATCACTCAGTACTGTGAGCTGCCAGACAACAGCCCCTCAGCAAAAAAGCCAAATTACTTTCTGACAGCTCAGGGTACTGCACTGCCTACCAGGAGGTGTGGCCTGAAGCTGGGGGAGGAGGCACAAAGAATGACCTACCTTGGTGGCATCGTGTTACCACATCACTTCTAACCTTCCCGGACTATCAATTAATTCACAGGGTGAATAGCTATCTGCAGGCTGCAAACATGCAGAGGACAGAGGAAGTAAGACTTTCTGGCAACCAGCCTTCTTTCCAGCCCTACATGCTCCACTGAGCACAGTCACAGAGAATGAAAACAAAAGTGTCTTCAGTAACAGCAATAGTTGGTTATGGTGTGCTGCCAATATTCCGGTGCTTGAAGCAATATATCACTGAATAAGTTATCATTTCTTCAGCTTTAAAGTTTCTAGAGTTTAATTTCATCATGAAGCATAAGCTGAGAAAGAATGTGACTGGGAACATTTAGAAAACAAACAAGAACTATGATATAAGACAGTTTAAGTTCCTGTTGCCTCCAAAACAGCAAGTGCCATTACTTATGGAAGCACCCAGTACCACTTCTTCATCTGCAGAACTGACAGAGTATTCATGGCTACCTCATACAGCTGGAAGTGGAATCAAATTCAGCTGATCCGGTTCCCAGATCTGACTGTACAAACACTGCTACAAGGGAGAAAGCAGGAACACACCTCTTGTTGGCAGCATGGACTTGGAACAGCTTAACAGACAGCTGTAAAGTCATAGCCTCGATTATTTATCCAAGCAGAGATCCTACTCTGCAAGTAAATTTCAGTGCTTGCAGCATAAGGAAATAGAACGCCACTGACTAAAATGGAAGCTTTGATTATTCAAACACACCAACCAACATTGGTAGTAACACTCAAAAAGCCACTCCCTCACCTACTCTAGAATAGCAAGCTTGTAACTAAATGGCTGCATCTTTTAGTTTTGTATCTTTTAATTTTACAAACAACTGCATACAACTTACCTATGAGTCAAAGTTCAGTTACAGAGGAATAACATTCTTCTTTTAAACATGCTCTAGTCAGATGCAACTTACTTTACGCCTTGTTCACGATGGAGATGGTCTGTCCATTACTTTCTTTTTTTTTTTTAAATAAAAGTACACAAATACAGAAAAAGACATACTCTACAAAATCATGTTTTAAGAAGACTCTACAATAAAGTTTCCTATCCATTCTAACAAAAAAACCCCACAACTCTATGCAGGTTAGCCTGACAAGCTTCACTAAAGATAAGCTACTATCTTAAACTGGTTTTGAGCCTGACTTGCACAACTGCAATTACATCTGTTTAAACTAACATGCAGAAATTCCTATCCTGGGTACACGAGATGCAATACTCCTTAATGGAAAACACACCTGGAATAAGAATGGCATGAACTACAATGAAAAGAGCACTGGGGGCAGAATGAATCTCTTCCTCAACATTAGTTTTCAGTATCCAATTGCATCCAGCGTTTTTTAGCCTCCAAGGATGACAATTTTCTGATCTACCCTACCCTGAAATAGTAACACTTACATCCTACCAAACTTTGCTGTAGCAAAAAGGCCATTTTCAAAGAAAGATGCAACAAGACATTGCAATTTCCCTCCCCCCTCAATTTTATTATGTTTCAATTCTTTCGACCCCCGCAGTGAAGGTTTAAACTCCGAGCTCCCTACCAGCCCCACAAGTTAAAAACCTACAGCCTGACGCTGAAACAAGCAGAACACAGCAGTAAAGGCTACAGACCTCGGAGATTAAGGCAGAAACAACTGCAGTAGAAAACCTCCCCCCAAAAGCGGATGGCGATGCAGTTTTGGGGGAGGATAACAAAGGACAAAGAGGCGGCGGGGTTCCTGCTCAGTTCCGCCGCTCCCCTTCCCCCCCCCGAACCCCCAGAGCCGCCCCGTGCCCCGAGAGGCCGCCTTCCACCAGAGCGGCAGCCCGCGGACGGCCGCAGCACGGGGAAGGCTGCCCCGCAGCGCCGGGCCCGGCCCGCGCCGCCCGCCCTCGGCCATTTTGTCCCTCTCGGCGCTCCCGGTCACCAGCCCAAGATGGCGCCGGGCCGCCTTCACCGCCCCGCCGCGCGCCCCCACCTCCTTCCCCGCCGCCATCTTCCCGCGTCGAGCCCGGCCCCGGCCCTCCTCCGCGGCCTCCTCACCGCCGCCGCCCCTCCCGCTCCGCCCCGACGGCGACACGGGGGCGGCCGCTCCGCCCGCCCGGAGCCGGAGGAAGCGTGCGTGTGAGGGGAGGGGCGGCCGGGCCGCGCGCTCAGGCTCCGTGTATTACCCGCTCGCCGTAGTTCTGCTCCCCGCTGTCGCTCATCGTCCCGCCGCGCCACTCCCCGCCACCGCCGCGCCGACCCGACCCGACCGTCCCCGGCGCCAGCGCTCTCCGCAGAGGAAGTGACGTGTGCCGCACGCCGCAGACCCCGTCCGTCCCGCCGCCCGCCTTCAGCGCAAGCCCCGCCCGACGGCCGCGAAAAGGCCCGCCCGGCGCCGAGGCCGTGAGGAGAAGCCCCGCCCTCACTCTTCCCGCCTTGAGGAGAGGAACCGCCCCTCACTCCTCCCGCTTGAAGGGAAGCCCCGCCCCCTGAGCGAAGCCACGCCCCCACGCTTCCCGCCTGGTGATAAGCCCCGCCCCTCACCTCCCCGCCTGAGGAGAAGCCCCACCTCCTGATTGAAGCCCCGCCCCTCACCCTTCCCGCCTGAGGAGAAGCCCCGCCCCCTCACCGCCCGCGAGTCATGGCGGCCATCTCATCCTTTCCCAAACCAGCCGCGCTTAGGGCACGGTGCTCCCGCATCCTCCAGCGCTGCTCCTTTATTTCCGCACCAGGACAGGCGCTGCTCGCCACCCGCAGTGCTTCCAGGGCCCTGAGGTGGCACTGCCTCGGGGCTCCCCAGCTCACCTCTTGAAGTGAACGTTTCCAAGCGGTGTGGAAACAGCTGTAAAAATCACTGCGCTCAGCTCAAAGGGCTTTTCTTTGAGGAAACAACCAGCCTAAGAGCACTGCTTCAGTGCTGGAAATGGGTCAATTTCCAAAATAGCCACGCGAGGGCAGCACAGCACCGCCGGACGGTTCCCTCATAACAGCGCTGCTTTTCACGGGCTCTGCCTCAGCGCTTTGTACCGGTACAGCGCACTCAGTGGCACTGTGGTCAAAGCAATGAGTTTTCCTCGCCCCGCATTACTTCAAGGGAGTGGATTTTTCCACAGATTCGGTGCTTTTCACATTTCCCAAGCTCTGCGGCCTGCCCCGCTCCGCCCCGGCCGGGAGGAGCCAAGGCTGGCGGCCGCCCCGCCCTTAGCGACCGCGGGGCCCGGCCATGAGGCTGAGCCGGGCGGCCGTGCTGGCCCGGGCCAAGGCTGTCGCGCTCGATGGGGTCCGGCGGCTGAACTGCTGGTGGGGGCCTGGGATGGGGGTGTGGGGATAGGGACAGGCGGGGCCTTGCCGTGGGATGGGTGTACGGGGGGATGGGAACAGGCAGGGCCTTGAGGTGGGTGGGACGTGGATAGGGCTGGAGGCAGGCAGGGCGTTGCGGAGGGGTAGGCAGGGCTAGGGCAGGGGACAGGGCTGAGGTTTGGGGACAGGCTGAGCCTTGCAATGGAAGGGACAGGCCTAGGGATGTGGACAGGCAGGGCATTACGGAGGGGTAGGCAGGGCTAGGGGCTGGGGAATGGCAGGGCATTGGGGGTAGGGCTAGGGTTTGGGGACAGGCAGGGCCTTGCAGTGGAAGGGACAGGCGTATGGATGGGGACAGGCAGGGAGTTGAGGAGGAATAGGCAGGACTAGGGCAAGGGACAGGCAGGGCCTTACAATGGAAGGGAAAGGCTTGGGGATGAGGACAGGCAGGGCATTGGGGAGGGCTAGGGTTTGGGGACTGGCAGGGCATTGGCAACAGGGCTAGGGATTGGGACAGGCAGGGCACTGGGAAGGGAGAGGCAGACCTAGGGTTTGGGGACAAGTAGGGCCTTGCAATGGAAGGGACAGGCTTGGGGATGATGACAGGCAGGGCATTGGGGAGGAATAAGCAGTGCTAGGGCAGGGGTCGGGCATGGCCTTGCAATGGAAAGGACAGGCCTAAGGATGGGGACAGGCAGGGCACTGGGGAGGGCTAGGGAGGGCTGGGGTTTGGGGACGGAGCTAGGGTTTGCAGTGGCAGGGACAGGCCTAGGGACAGGGATAAGCAGGGCATTGGGAAGGGATAAGCAGGCCTAGGGTTTGGGGACGGGCAGGGCTGGTGAGTGCTGAGCAGCCTTGAGATCCCGGCAGGCCTGTGCACAGCAGCCCTGGAAGGGACAGTGGGGACATGGCAGAGGTGTGTGGGATAGGCCCAGGCCTGCTGCTGGGGTGAGGGCACAGCAGATGGGAGGTTGTCGCCAAAGCCAATGCAGTGATAGCCCTTTTCTCCCACAGGGGCAGCCACCTCACCGATGTAAGTACCGTGCTGCCATCTGCTCATCTCATCGATCCCCTGCCTGGAGAGAACTGGCACTGGGAGGGTACTGGGGCCCTGTGCTCACCTGACAGTGCAGGATTTGGGCTCACAGACACATCTGCACTGCAGGAAAGGGATGCCCGGGTGAGAGGGATGGATCCTTCCTGGAAAGCAGCGTAAGGACAGCAGAGCTGCTGGAAGGAAGAGCAGCGAGATGCTGGCAGGGTGCAAAGGGTGGAAGCTCTGCTGATTCTGTGCTGGCTCTGGCAGCAAATCCCTCAGGCGGTGCTAAGCTTGGGTTAGATTGAAGCAACCTGGATTCCTGCTCTTGCTTTTATCTTATTTGTGTGTGGCTTAAACTGCTGTGTTTTTTGTTGTTCTGTTTTGCTTTGTGTTTTTTTTTTTTTTTTCTCGGATTGCAGTTTAATGTTTCTATCTCTTCCTGCATAGATATCGATATGCCGGGATCTGCCCAACGTTGAGGTGATCACATTCAGGTGAATACCAAGCTGCTGGCCTTGGAAAGAGTGGAGATCACGTGTTTCATGCAGCTGTGTCCTGGCGTTTGGTTTGGTGCTGCCTCTTAGAGTGTGTCTGCAAGCTGCCAGCCTCTTCTCGCCTCTTTTCTCAAGCAGCAGAGATGTGGAAATGCTTATTCTTCAGCACGCTCCTCTGCGCCTGTCCCTTTGCTATTTGTTTTGAGAGGGGTTAAAATGTCTTAGGATTTTTATTCCTTATGTCATATTCCATGATTTAAATGGGATTTTCTGGGCCTCCACATGAAGCCAGTTTGCAGAAGGCTGGTTGAAATGCTTGGATCTCTCCAAGCTCCACATTTCTGCCATCTCATGTGGAGCTTCTGCTATCTTTGAAATTGAGCTTTTCAGCTTAAGAATCTTCTGTAGGTTCTCCTTCAGCTTGGGAATCTTCTGTGGGTTCTCCTTCAGCTTGAGCTGCTAGAGAAAAGGGTGTCAATGTGATGGATGGTTGGGGGAAGCAAAAGCTGTTTGTCATTTTCAGCAGAGAGCAGCTCCTGCTTTTTTAATTCCTCCCTCTGTTTACAAAGATGAAATGCCATCTTTTTGTTCTGTGCAAAGCCGTAGGCTCCTGAACACCGCCCTCGCTGTGTCGGTGTGAGGCTTCTCAGTGAAGCTGATGCAGAAAAAGGGGCTGAAAAGCTGAGTGCTGCAGGGGCCCTGCTCACCGCTTAGGGCACAATGAGGAGGGGTGGGCTGAGCCTGTGCTCTCTCTGCAGCCTGAATGGCATCTCAGACCTCGAGCCGCTGAACCAGTGCCAGAATCTGAGTGAGCTCTACTTGAGGAAGAACAACATAGCAAGCCTGAATGAGCTCTTCTACCTCAAAAACCTGCCCCGGCTGAGGGTCCTGTGGTTGTCTGAAAATCCCTGCTGTGGGTCGGACCCCCACCGCTACAGGATGACGGTGCTCCGCAACCTCCCCAGCCTGCAGAAGCTCGATAATCAAGGTGGGTGTTGTCAGGGAAATGAACAGCCCCGAGCCCTGGGCAAGGTGAACTGGAAACTAGTGATGTCCCTCTTGTTTGGGTGTCCTTGATTCTTTGTGATGGGGAGACGTGGTACAGGTGTGCAGGCAGGCAGGATCTGTTGGAGGTCGAGTCTCCTCTCTGTAGAACCATTGCTCCCAAGCTGGTTTCTCTCTTTTGTGTCCTGCAGTGCCAGGGTTAGTGCTAGTGGGGCTGAAAGAGGCTCATTAGAGCTGAGATCATACCATTCATTAGTGGTTTTTCAGAGCTTTCTCTTTTGCTCTGGCAAAACAAGGATTCTGTAATTGGATCTGCGGTTATAGAAAGAGCTTTTCTACCTGCTAGCAGTAATTTGATGGCTTTTTGAGCCTGCAGAACATCTTTGCATCCCAACCTGATATCTTTCTCCTTTTAAGAGACAGCCACTGTTCTCTTGTGAAGGAGAATGAAAGCAAAAGGCCTCTACAAAGCAGGATTGTTGGGTGAAATTCTGCCAGTGTAGCTCTGCAGCAGCAGCACATTCCTGATCACAGGCAGTGTCTTTCTGGGCTGCTGGAGTTCATTGCAAACAAATGGCTCCAGGCTGTTGTTTTTGTTTTCACAGCCGTGACAGAGGAAGAGCTGTCCCAGGCCATGGTTGACGGGGAGGAAATCACGGCCCCACCAGCCAGGAGGAGTATGGAGAATGGCTGCTCTGCATCCACAGAGTCCAGTGCTGCCGAATCCACAATGGAGACTGAGAGCGAGCTGCTGAGCTTCGGTTTGGAGGAGACCAAGTGAGATGTTAGGGCTCCTGAGCTGGACTCATGGGTAGCATGATAGGACCCTGCTAACCAAGCGTCGTCCTACGTAGGCCAGCCCTGCAGTGGCTGCAGATTTCTGTTGTTCCAGTTAGCTGTGCTGGGTCAACAGTACTTGTGGGTCTGATTCTCTGTCTGCCAAACAGGCTCTGCTGTAGGGGGGTGCTTGCTATCAGCTGCATGTGCAGACAGAGGTGGGTGAGGTCTGGCCCGCTCCTCCTTAGCTCCCCTGCAGCATGCTTTGGTGCTCATCAGCACCATGCACGTGTTGGAGTGCAGTGTGATGCAGTTAGTTCCCAGTCCCACGGCTGGGAGCAGCCTCCTCGTGGTACATTGCCTGCTTACATCCTGTAGCTGTGAGGCTCTTACTATGGTTTTGCTCAGACTTCTGTATTTTGTAGGCAGCTGAGATGTGCTTGGAGATGCGCTTTGAATCCTTTGGCTAGATATTGTTGGGTGGCTGCTGGTGACTAGAAGTTTGGCCTGGCAGAGTAAGGTTTTGCCATCTGGTTATTGTAACATTTGCTCTTCCTCCCTTTTTTCAGCAAAATCCGAGAGCAGCTTGGTATGAAGCCTGTTCCAAGGGATAAATTTTCCTCCTTCTCACCTCAAGAGACGGACTGTAGCCAAAATACAAGAGTGAGTATTTTTCGAGACCAAGTTGCTTTTCATCTTCAAGATGCTGAGCAGTGTTTTCATTTTCCTCCGCATGCAGAGAAAGCCTGATGAGGTTTGTGCTCTCCATCTGTCTGCCCACAGGCACGTGTGTCCCTGCACTAGGGCTGTGCTGAGAGCACATCAAAGGTGGGCAGCAGCTGAAATGCAGCTGGTGAGCGGGAGGATGCTGAATTGAGTGCTTAGGTGCTTCTTCAGCCCCCTCGGTGATGTAGCCCCAGATGAACCTCATGGATTTTGGCTGTGCAGCTGGGAGCTGCCGTATTCTGGGCTCAGTGCCATCACTGCAATTGGCATAGGAAGGCCAGAGTGAGGATCTAGACCGTGTTCTGCCTGATTCCAAAATTTGTTGTCTGCATTCTCTTGTTCATTCATGCTTTAAGCTTCCTTTACAGTACCAAGAGTACTACCGCAGGCCCTGGGTTTTTTCCTCTTTTTATTTTTCTCTGGCAAAATAAAAATTAAGGGGATGTGGCCACAGACTGCAGCTGTGGAGCTTCAAGTTGGACATTAGGAAAAAAGATTTCCCCTAAAAGGTGTCTAGTGAGGTTGTGGAATCTCCCTCTGGAGTTTTTCACGACATAGTTTGACAGAGCCGTGTTCTGGTGTTGGCAGAAATCCTACTTTGGTGGGAGGCTGGGCTGGGGACCTTCAAAGGTTCTGTCTAGCTCCTGTTTTTGCTATTATCTTGCTGTTGCTCAGATCAGAGTGGGGGCAGGTTCTTTCTCACCCTTCATGCAGTCACACTAGAGAAAGGACAGCTGCTCAGTTGAGCGCCCTTTTCCCTGCAGGAGCCAGAGGTGTGCAGGCAGTCTTTGCAGGACTGGGTGGACGAGTTTGTCCTGCATTCCAGTTAGTCTCCTCCAAGGCAGCCTCTGCCCCTTAGGGGGGGTTGGTTTGTCCCTGTAGGTGCAGGTGATGAAGTCCCTAGACGGAGCAGCAACTCGAAAACTGAGTGCTCCCCTTCTCTGGGCTGGTGTTAATGTGCTTGTATAAAGCAGTGTCTGTCTCATCCCACAGAACAATGTGCTGAATGCCATCCTGCTTCTCACGAAGGAACTGGACGCCGAGGGTCTGGAGGTCGTCCAGCAGACAGTGGGGAGGAGGCTGCAGGCCTTTCGGAAGAGGGAGCTGCAGGAGGAATGACGGTGTGTGCTGTGTCCTCCCTGGGGCATTCCATGAGCCAGAGAGCTTGCCCCAGCACAGCTGCACCACTCTGCCCATACATGCCTGGCTCAGCATGTTCCGCTGCACTTCCCCTGTGGATGGGGTGATGCTGGCTGAGAGAAACTGCCCCTTTAGTTCTCCTGACATTGCCCCTGGCTATGTGCATCACGTTGGTGGGATCTGCCTCTCGGGAGCTTTCCTGCTGGCGTGGCAGGCTCTGTTAATGTGTGCATGTCATGTCACTGGGGTCATTCGATGGGAGCCACAGCGGGATCAACAAGAAAAAGCTAGCAGGGCTGTGGGCAGAGGTGCTGCTGTGCTCTACAAATGAAGGGGTTGGCAAAGCCTGACAGCAGCCAGAAGTACCACTGCTCCCTGTTGGCCGAGCACTTGGCCAGTTGTCATTCTGGGTCTGCATAGAGCAGACTCTGAAGGCAGCTTCTCCCACAAAGGTTTGTTTGAATCTTGGAAAGACGCTGCCTAAAGGATTTTCAAGAGCTCTCTGGTACAGATGGTGAAGGTCATTGTCAAATTCTTAATTTATCTTAAACTCCTGATTTCTTTTGGCCTTGTTAGTACAAGCAGCATCTGACTTGGTGGTCAGGTGGCCCAAAGAAGACCTTGGTGCAGCCTGGGTGAAACAGCAACTCCTGAATGCTCAGCTGTAGTTTCGCCCCTGCATGCCCTTGCAGGCATTAGAGCAGCCTAAGGAAATGTAACCTTGGAGCAAAATATCCCTGTGCATTTTGGGAGAAAATGAGCCAAGCATTACTGTTCGAATGCACAGGTATCAAGGGTGGTGCTTAACTGAAAAAGCTGAATTTAGAAAAATTTTTCAAAGCTCTTAAAATACCACTTGAAACATTGTGACATTGCAAATAAAAGCCATTTTCCCTCTAGGACCTATGAGTTGTGCCTGGGGCTCAGCAACCATGGTGAGAACAACTGACTCTGGGCATTGCTGTGTTACTTCTGGGTCACAGCTCCCATTGTGAGCCCTGTGAAGCCGGAGGGCAGCTGTTGGCCCCTGCTCCATCCCGCTTCACTGACTGTGAAATGCTTCATCTGACTGCAGTGCTGCTCATGATCAGAACTGCTGCACCTCCCTGCTTTGCAAAGGTACTTTGCTACTGGGGCAGCTCTCTGCAGCAGCCAGTCTGCAGCTGAGCTGCAGGGAGCAAAGGGACTGTGAGGAAGGCTTGGTGCAGAGGTGCAAAGCCTGCAAGGGGGGGCATGGCCCTTGGTGTGATTCTCTGCAGGGCCTGGGGTGGTTGTGGCTCTGCTCCCTGTGTATGTGTAGGGATCCAAGCCCCTGCATTGGGTTGTGCTGATGGGAATGCTCCTTGGGGATGTGGACAGTCCCATGCACACAAGCACAACTATGTGGGCTTGGGATGAGGGGGCACAGTGTGTCCCTCTGAGTGAGGATTGCTGACGCCTTTAACTCTTCAGATGACCTAGTTCTTGCCTGCTGTGTTAAGCCCAGCTGCACAGAACTGGTCAGTGTGATTTATAATATACTAGTCTTGTCCTGACAGCCAAGGCCCCAGAGACTTACCCGGCATCTTGTTTGCATCCTGCCCTTGTGTAGAGGTTAAGTCTTCTCCCGGGCTGCCTCAACAGCTGCTTGGTGGCAGAATTTGCACCTTTCTGCACTGGGGATCATGTGAGCAGCTGCTGGAGTGTGTTGGCAGACACCCCATGGCCTGGAGCCCCCCATTTTGCTGGGAGGGGAGTGTCTGGAGCAAGCATCATGGCTTGTCACAAGGCTGGCGGTGGCTGCTGGAGTGCTGAGCGTGGCCTGGGGCTGCTCTGGCGCAGCTCCTTTTTTCTCAGCTCACAGCAGTCAGGCTGTTAATCCCAGCCAGAGCTCTCCGCCTACGTGCCGTGCTTGTCATACTTGGCTGGTGCTGCTGCTGCAGCTGCCAAGTGCCCCCTCTGCCACCTCGCAGCATGTTTGTCAGTGGCCTTCCTTCCCCTGTGCGATGCTCGGTGTCCATGTGGATCTGGGGCTGGGCTGGATGGTCACCATGTTTCCGTGGCCCTGTTGAGGAGTGAGATGGGCTCCCCAGAATCAGCATGGGGCAGCAGAGGAACCCACTTCCCGCCTCCCCAGTGCCAAGAGGAGTGGTGTGATCTGTGCCTGGGGTCCCCAGGGCAGGTATTAACAGGGAAAAGCCGCTATGTTTCCTTCAAGCTCTGCTGTTTCTCTGCACTCAGCTCTGGCAGGGATTATGTGGTCACTATCTTTGTCCAGAGCCTAAAATAAGTGCTGCGGCCAGCTAGGGGAATAGCACTGTTGCCCTTAAAATCAAAGGGGCCTCCACACTGGGGACAACTCAATGGAAAAAAAACCAGCTCTGTCCAAACCCTACAGCTGTGACACGTCCCCATGATGGTGATGTTCATCAGTCTGGCTCTGGAAGGAAGGAGTCCTGGGAAATGAGTTGTTTGGCATCGGCTGAGCACAGCCAAGTCCCAGAACTGTGAGCCAGGGCCAAGGAGCTTGGCAGCTACCCTGAGAAACTGCGTGAAAACCACGCGCATCACCCTGAGCCATCCGCTTTGAACTTCCCTTGAAGGTGGGAACCAAACCCTGGGAGATGCAGTTTTCCTCCAGGGTTGAGAGGTCTCCTCGCAGAGGGATGCAAACTTTGTGCATTCTGGAGGGAGTCATGCATGGGAGGCTGCCCGTGGTCCTTTTCTCCCAGGACCCCAGCTTGGGGGTGCACAGAGCAGGGAAACATCCCAGCATTAGGGCTCTGGCAAGCTGTCTGCAGCTCAACTTTCTCACACCCCCTCCCTAGAACAGCGTAAGATGGTCCCCCCACCCCAGTGCACACCCCACGGGGACACAGCCTCCAGTCCTCCTCCTCATGGCACCGCAATGACCACGCTGGTGACGCAGCGTTGGCTCCAGCAGGTTTTATCTCTAAGACACAAGCGACGCCGCGATGGTGAGACACGGTGGGGTCATGGAGCGGTAGTGAGATGATGGGCACGGCCCTGCTGGTGGCACCAAGGGCCACGTGGTGGTGGTCGTGACAGCCAAGCGTCATGCAGGGTGGCCAGGGACAGGGGATTGCCAGGACTGGTGCCCTGTGCCTATTCCGGCACTGCACGGCATCCTCCTCCACTCCCCTCCCGCGCGGGGTCGTCAGCTAAAAGCAGCAATTGGTTTGGGCTATCAAGCCATGAAATAAGGAATCAGGAGTACCCCATCATTAAATAATAAACTAGAAGAGGATGATTTCGGGGCCGGGCTGCGCAACCAAGCACAGGGGAGCCCCCCATTCCCAAATTTGCACAGTGACTGGCCCCAAGGAGCAGCAATTTCAGGCAGGGTCTGGGGAGGATGCATCAGGGATGGCCACTAGAAGCCCTTCTCGATGCTGAGCGTGCGCCGGGTGACGTGCTCCATCTTCCCCGAGATGTACTCGGTCAGGCTGATCTGGTAGTTGGCCAGCATCTTCAGCATCAGCCGCAGGTTCAGCCACCACTGCTCCTGGGGCAACCGGTGCCTGCAAAGTGGGACATGGCTCTCCAATGGCTCTGGGCACAGCGGCCCTTGCCCCTGAGTTTTGGGAAGTCTGGGGGAGCCATGGACAGCAGATGGGCACTTACTCAAAATCAGTGACTTTCTTGAGCTCTGTCACAGGGCTGAAGGCCACCACCTTCTTCCTCAGCCCGATGACACAGGCGGAATCAGCCGAGTTGGCAAACACACGTCCTGTAGGGGACACACTGTCATCAGCTGGCAGCAGGCACAGCGGCCATGCTGCAACCAGCGTCCCCCAGCCCTGGGCTCACCCTTGCGATATGCCTCCTGCAGCTTCTCTGACATCCACAGCACGGCCTTCACACCCAGCTTGGTCCCGTAGTTGCGATCAAAGGGGGTTGGGGCTCCCCCCTAGGGACAGAAAAAAGCTGAGGTCAAGTCCCTGTTGGATAAGGGCCGGTGCTGGTGGCCCTCCCATCCCTGTACCTGCTGGAGGTGGCCCAGGACATTGATCCTGCAGTCGAAGATGCCCTTGCCCTCAGAGGAGTAGAGGTTGTAGAGGAACTCAGTGGTGTAGTGCTCGTGGCACTTCTCGTTGCTGGGGGAGCAGAGAAAAGGGATGGGGTTACTCCTTTGTGGGGTGAGCAGTGAGGCACTGCCCAGCTGCACAGGGAGGTGGGGGTCACTGTCCCTGGAGGTGTTCCAGAGCCATAGAGATGCAGCATGCAGCACTGAAGGACGTGGTCAGTGGTCATGGTGGGCTGGGGTTGGCCCTGGGGATCTCGAAGGTCTTTTCCAACCTCAATGATGACTTAGGACTCACCGCAGCACCAGCCCTCTCTGGATGTCTGTCTTCATTTTGTCCGTCAGGTGCTCCACGTTGGCCTGCAGGACAAACCCCAGCATGTCCCCTACCTTCAGCATCCACCCCATGTTCACCCACCCCCATAAGATCTCATCCGCAGCTGTTCCCAATTCCATTTCCCACCTTTTTTTTCCACCAAAACGGTATTGCTGGGATACTGAGGACCGCTCACCTTCAGGTCATGGATGGTGAAGGGGTCTTCATACACGTAGGCAGCATCGGCACCCACGGCGATGCCGGTGACGGTGGACAGATACCCACAATAACCTCCCATGGTCTCCACGATGAAGACGCGGCGCTTGGTGCCTGACGCCGACTGCTTGATGCGGTCACAGCTCTGTACAGGGACAACGCTGGTCACAGGGCCACATTCATACAGCGTGGTGCTCCCACCTCACTGCTGCCCCTCACCTCCATGGCTGCATTGACGGCTGTGTCCGAGCCCAGGCTGAAGTCGGTGCCGGGCACGTTGTTGCTGATGGTGGCGGGGATGACACACATGATGATGCAGAGCTCCTCATACTGCCCACGGGCTTCCACCAGCTGCAGCACCCCCTCGTATGCCTGCCGTGGGCATGGCCGTCAGCAGGGTCCCACCTCACCCCACCCCACCACCTGGGACCAGGATGGGCCCATCAGGTGTAGGAGATCCAGTGATGCCAAAGGGTGCTTCTACATTCAGTGTTTCCCCGTACCTCAAAGCCACCAATGACCAGCAGAGCTTGGATGTTGAATTTCCGCACGTTCTCCACGATCTTTTCCATGCAAGTCTTGGGCAGAGTCCTGGAAGGGGGAAAGACCCTGCACTGAGGCCCCTGAGAAGCCCACGTATACAGCAGTGTCCCTTTTGGCACAGCCATGGGCCACTCACCGCTTGGTGCCTAGCATGGACCCACCACGTCCCAGCCAACCTGCCACATCGTGCCAGCCCACCTCACGGATCTGCAAGAAGCAGTGCTCAATTTTGGAGCTGGGGATAACCCATCCACCCCAATCAGAGCCCTGTGGGGCTTTTGGTGCCCACACACTCACCTGTCCCTTGGCCAAGCCCTCGAAGCCATCGCTCACCGCATAGACGGTGTGGCCACGGCAGATGCTGATGCGCACAGCTGAGCGCACAGCCGCGTTCATGCCGGCAGCAGGGGCCCCCACGTTCAGGATGGCCAGGCTGAAGGGGCTCTGTGGGGACAGCAGCAGCGTGGTGGGGACGGTGGCACAGCCACCAGGAGGGGAACAGCACTGTCCTGCTTAGAATTGAGGGGATGATGGAAAGGACAGCTTGGCACCCTGTCTTACCTTCTCCTGCGCTGGCTTCTGGTGTGCCAACAGTTTATAGATGTTCCAGTTGTTCTCAAAGCTCCTGCAAGGACAGCAGCAGCTCTAGTGGAGAACCTCTGTTCCAGCAGGCCTCCCCAGTCACCCCATGGTGACATTTGGTCCCCCACGGTCGCTCACCTTCCACGGAGCTGGATTGCCTCATCAAACCTCTTCTCATCCATGGCCTTCTGCACATCCTTTGTCTTGGGGAAGAGATGCAGCACTGCGACACCCGTATGTGGGGTGACAGCAGTGGGATGCCCTAATGCCCACTCAACAGAGGTGCCACCAGCCCCACGGAGATGCCACCACCTGCACCCCCCAGTGCCACCATGCACTCACCACCTGGACGCACTCCATCAGCGGCAGCCGCACCGACTGGTTCCCTGACAGGCTGACCACGCAGGCAGGGGTGTCCGGGGTGGCCTCCAGCAGCGCCATCACGGCCTCCATCCCCATCTTGCTGCTCTGTAGTGAGTCGGAGGCACCCCTTGGGTGATGACAAAGCCCTTCTCCCACCTTCTGTTCCCATCCCGCAGCCCTGGGCACCCACCAGCACACGGTCGAAGGCAGAGGGCGTCCCGCCGCGCTGCACGTGGCCCAGCACGGTGACACGCGTGTCAAAGCCCAGGCGCTGCACCACCAGCTGTAGGGCAGAGAGGCTGTCAGAGCAGGCAGGGCCTGGCCATGGGAGCTGGCAGCGGGGTGAGCCTTACGTCTTTGACGTAGTTGGAGGAGATGGGCTTGCCGTTGCGGTCGATGGCCCCCTCCGCAATGATGATGATGTTGAGCCGTGACCCTCGGCTACGGGTCTGGGGGAGCAAAGGGCACAGCAGCTTAGCCAAAATTTGTGCTACCTGAGGGCATCCTGGCCACAAGCATCTTCCTTGTGTCTCCAAGGTAGAGATGGGTCCCTCACCTCCCCGAGCCGCTCGCACATCAGGTCCTCCCAGCCATCCTCTGGAGGGGATTCGGGGATGAAGAGCCAGTCGGCCCCCGAGGCCAGCCCAGACACCAGCGCCAGGTACCTGCAGGGAGTGGTGGTGACACCCAGGTGTCCCCAAGGGCCTGAAATACCACAGAAAGCCCCCACTCCACCTGGTGTCCTCACCCGCAGTGGCGGCCCATCACCTCCAGCACGAACGTCCTCTGGTGGCTGCAAGAACACGGTTTAGGGGACATGGTGAGTGGGCACGGTGGGGACGGGTCAATGGTTGGATGATCTTAGAGGTCATTTACAACCTTAACGGTTCTATGAGTGGGCATGGTGGGGTGGGTAGGTGGAAGTTAGACTTGATGAACTTAGAGGCCACTTCCAACCTTAATGATTCTATGATAACCAAGGGATGAAGGTGAGGAGGATTAGGAAGAGGGCGAGGGTGGGCAGGCAGAGGGTGGGAGCTGTGCTGATGATGAGGCCAACAATCTCACCTCTGCGCTGTGGTGGTGATGGCGTCGATCACCTCCATGATGCGATGCAGCGCCGAGTCGGTGCCGATGGTCATGTCGGTGCCGCAGAAGTCATTGTCGATGGAGCCCACCAAGCCCACCACGTTGAGCCGCCCGTTGGCCTTCGCCACCTCCTCACTGATCAGCCCTGCGCCCGACGCCCAACGCTTTGGGTTGAGCTCCGGGTTTGGCTCATTGCTACCCATCGCATCCCACATCCCACATCACGCACCGTCCCGCAGCAGCTCATCCAGCAGCCCTGCCCACTCCGCGCGGAAAATATCAGCACCCGTCAGGCTGCCATCGCCGCCGATGACGCAGAGGTTGGTGATGCCGTGCTCCACCAGGTTGCGGGCGGCGCGCAGGCGGCCCTGCCTCGTGGTGAAGGCTTTGCAGCGGGCGCTGCCGATGACCGTACCGCCCTGCAGAGGGGACAATCGGGGGGACGTGGCACAGCGCTTTGGCACGCGGGGCGTCCCCGGCGGAGCCTGGCGATGCTCACCAGCTGGATGATGTTGGAGACGCTCAGCCAGGTGGCCTGCTTGATGTTATCACCGCCTTCCACCAGCCCCTCGTAGCCCTGCGGGGACACGGAGGTGACATCCCTGCGTGCCATACGCGGGGGCAGGGCAGCTGGCGGGGGCGCGGGGCGGGCAGACCTCGTAGATGAGGAAGACCTTGGCTCCCACGTAGATGCCCATGCGGGTGACGGCGCGCACAGCAGCGTTCATGCCTGCGGAGGAGACACGTGGCACCGCGGGGACGTCGCTGCACCAGCAGGGGACCCACCGCTCTCCCCGGGCAGCCATCCCGATGCCCCACGTCCCCACACTCCCATTATTTCCCCGTGCCCTACGCCCCGCGTCCAGACGTCCCCGCGTCCCCGCAGCGCGTCCCACAGTCCCCCGCGGCAGCGAGGACTCCGGACCCGCCGCAACCTCGCCGCCCGGCAAGAGAACCGGGTGGTGACACCCGCCGCCTTCTGCCGCTCCGCGGGCCTCACCTTGCGCGTCGCCGCCGCTGGTGAGCACGGCGATGGCCATGCCGGCCCCCGCCATCCGCAGCCGCTCCAGCTCCGCCGCCGCCATCGCTGCGCTGCCCGGCACCGGCGTCCCGCCCCGCGCTCCGCTGACCACGCCCCCTCCAGAGGCCACGCCCACCAGGTGGTGCCACGCCCAGCAGAGGCTCCGCCCCCCGCGCTGTGCCGCGCCGCGCCGCTCTGCCTGGCGGGGACGGACAGACGGACCCGCGTGCGATGCTCACACACAATAATTCCGTCTAATTAATAATATTAGTTAATTAAAGAAGCACAGCGCTATCCCATCCGCGGGGCTGTCACACTGCTGCGTGCCACGGGGCCCACCGTGTCCCCGTTACTCTGACACGGCCACGTCCGGCAGCGAAAGGGTGCGGGCGTCGTGGGTGAAGGAAATGGGAGAGACCTGGCCGGACTCCCGACATCCTCCTCCTCCTCCTCCTTCCCGGCCCCACCTCCCCGGCACCGCTTAACTGCGGCCGCGGGGCCACCGCATCCCGTCCGTCCCCGTCCCGCCATGCTGAGGCTGCTGCTGCTCTGCGGGGCTCTGGGCTGCGGGGCCGGGAGCGATGGTAAGGGGCTGCGGGGATGCACGGGGCCGCGGGGCGACACGGGGACACGCGTGGCGGCAAATGCTTGGGCGACCACAGGGCTGGAGGGCGAGGGTCAGGTTTGGCGTGACGTCGGGGGCTAACGGGCGACATCGGTGTCTCCCAGCAGCCCCGCTCACCTTCATCATGCTGCAGTGGACGCAGGTATCCAAGGGCAGCTCCGTCTTTTGGGGCAACGCCACGCTGGGCGGGCGGCTCAGCCACATCCTGGAGGATCACAACGTCACTCAGGTGCTGCCCCTGGAGCCGCCCGCAGTCTGGGCACAGCAGCGGGACATGGTGGCCAACTACCTGAGCTACTTCAGCGGCATAGTGCAGGTCTTCAGCAAGGAGAGGCCCCTCAACTGTGAGTGCTGCTGGGGCGAAGGGGCACGTGGTGCTGTGCTGCTGGGGATGGCTGCTCGGGGACAGCTCAGCAAGGGGACAGGGGCACAGCCCCGGAGCTGCGGGCAGCCCTTGGGCAGAGGGCTTACCTTGGGGTCACTGCTTGGAAGTGGGATGCTGAGAATGAGGAGGCTGTATCCCTGCATAGGGATGCTGCTGTGGCTGTCATTTGACATCTCTCTCCCTCCAGCCCCTGTACCCGTGTTCCTTCCTAGAGCCCATTTTGCCCCCATTCATTCCTGGACCTGGATCTCCAGTGCTATCCCCATCCCCATGTCCCTGCCCTATACCATATCCCATGTCAAAGCCACGAGGAGCTCACTGTGCACAGAGCAATTTCCAAATGAGAAGCTGCAGGGAGCTCACCAAGGGTCCGTGTGCTGCAAGCCCACAAGCCGGGGCTGTGCACACACTATAGCTCTGTAACAGCTGGAACCTGATGCCCTCCATCCCACAGACACCCAAATCCTGCACTGCCGCCTGGGCTGCTGCCTCTTCCCCAATGGCACGGCCCACAGCTTCTATGAGGTATCCCTCAACGGAACAGCCTTCCTCACCTTCCACGTCCCCACTGCCACCTGGGAGCTCCGCTGGCCACGCAGGGACCCAGTGGCCGCTTTTGCCCAGCGAGAGCTGATGAAGTACTCTGAGACCACGCATAACCTACAGCACTTCCTCAACACCACCTGCGTGGACATCCTGCGGGCTCAGAACCCTCAGACAGGTGTGTGTCAGGCACAGAGGGGTGCCGGGGCCTCCCCTGCTCCTGGTTCTCATCCCTTGGGAATTGGGGTTACTTACCATTGTCGCTTCTTGCAGGGAAGCAGAGAGGCCGCTCGCACGCCCCGCTGGTGCTGGGTCTGATCCTGGGGGTCTCCGCAGTGGTGGGTATGGCTGTGGGCATCTTCTTGTGCACAGGAGGGAGCTGCTAGCAAAACCATGGCTGGCCTTGGTCACTCCATGGGCACAGGGGACCAAACCCACATCATCTCATGGGGACCCCAGCTGGGATGGTTTCCCTGCCCCAGGGATGGTGCTCACAGTGCATTGAGGCGTGGAACCACGCTTGGCCTGGATGCACGAAATGCAGAGAGGGGTGAAAACCAGAAGAAAGCCAAAAAGGGTGAAGAGATTGGTATTCAGACCGTGATTCATCGCCACTCTGGGGTGAAAGGGGATGGATGCCTGGAGGACAGATGTCACATCTGGGAAAGGACCTGTCGGTGGTCATCCATCTCCGTGCTGAACAGCCCTGCTCCAGGGCCTGGTGCAATAAAGCCCTTCTGCCCCCAGACTTGTGTCACACTTTCTTGCATGGGGGGAGGTTACACAGCATGCACTGAGCTTGCACAGCCTTGAGAGAGGCTGCAGGGCTTGTGCTGCCTGATCTCACCCCGACTGTATGCTGCTTTGCTTGTGCTCAGTTTGGCTGCAGCAGCAATTTTCTCCCTGAGGCCAATTGGTGTCATTTATTTTTCTTTTACCTCCCTATGGCACACTGAGGCTGACTATAGACAGTTTCTCCTGGACAGATTAAAGGGCTCATCGCTGTCACATATGGGCATGGGATCCCCAAAAGCTGGGTGAAGGAATGGGAAAAAAGAGTGGGTGCTGACACTGGTGCAAGGCAGACCTGCTGAAAGCACAGACACTGTCACAAACACAATATTCTTACCCTTTGGCAGCAAGGAGGGGAAAGCAGAAACAGAAGTGGGATGGGAGATGACATAGCAATGTCCACAACAGGGGACAAAGGTCTCTCGAGAGACTACAGCTCATCTGCTGGAGCTGCCAGGCAGCCCTGGCCGCCCTCCATCACGCAGCCCCCCACCCTTCAGGGGGCTGCTCCAGCAGAGTGAAACAGCAGCCAAGTGTCCTGGGATCCAGAGCACCAATTGAGGCAAACATCAGCACTCAGCTGGGTGGGAGGCCAGCTGTGCTGTGTGTATGGGG